CCCCTTTTTTGCAAAAATTTTTACATTTAATGAACATACACTAAAGCATAAGATACTATTTGTTGACTTACAAGCTTATGGCAGTTTTTTCCCCCTAAATTTATTAAGGCATGATTTACAAAGTTTTCCATAATTGGATTTTTTTAAAGATTATTCAGTTTGTGTACTCTAATACTAGAATAAGTTACTATAAGAAGTCAGTGTAATGTACTTTACTTTTTGTGAGACTAATCTGATAAGTACTTTTTTTTAAAAGACAGAAAGAGGGAATATATATAGTTCATCTATTTAGCTTACTTGTGTGAAGTTAAGATAGTATGATGTCGGCCGTGCGACATCTTACTATCTCGTTCTTACTTTGGACAACCTGGCAGGCTACTGATGTAACTGCCCACATGGCAGAGTCTGGCAAACTCCCCCTGGTTTACCCAATATGCCAAATACCAGTAACAATGATGGGTCTCATTCTCCTAATCCCGAAAGTGCCTTGAATATCGCACTTTTGAAAATCTCAGGGTTAGGGCGAAGGAGACGTTACTGGTGCCTGCTCAAGGCAATCGATGAACAACAGGATGATCGTGATCGTGATCGGATTTTTGGTATACAATGTTCCATCACTGATCTCGTCACCAGTGTCAACTTCCCTCTACCAGTGTCCCCAGGTTCCCTCCCGTGCTCTCTGGACAGGCACTATTGGGAAACATTGGGTTGTCCTTGCTACTCCCGCAGGGAGCTGAGGTTTATTGAGTTACTCCCACCACAGTGCCCCTAAGGCACACTCAATTCCATCAAGCACTAATTATCCTATATTGCTTTTCCTTTCCTTTATGTTATTTAGCAATGTCCTTTTTGTACAGACACAGGAAGACAGTTCATGCTATGCTTTGTAACGTGGGAGTTAATTGACTCCAAAATAATATTTACTCCTGGGCATCCATCATATTTACCTGACTTAAGCCTCAGTGGCCCTTAGTTCCTAGCACTCCAAAAGCAGGGTCCTGATGAAGGGACTCGATGAACCCAGAGCAAGCTGTAAGTTACCCTGGCATCGAAAGGGGCCATGCTAAGCACCATAAGTGTAAGTTAAGAGCACGGTCATGAAACAAACTCTGTCATCACACAAAAAGAAGTAACTAAATAAGGACCCTGCTGGGGTTAGAAAGACTAATCTTGCCTGAGGACTGTGGTCTGGAATATATAGCGAGATGTCCCCAAGAAGAGCCAACCTTTAAGCTTAATATATCTCTTAGGGTGTTCATACAAAATGACTAGAAAAATTATAAAAAGTAAATTTACGATGATTGTTTGAGTGGATTACTAGCTGAGGAAAAGATAAAACAATACACCCTGGATGGGATCCGCCCTTGAGCGGATCTCCTAGCAACCTGGAGTGCTGAACCCTCAGATGAGACTCTGTCCTTGAGTTAATCCCCTAGAACTTCCCCTGGAGGAGGGGCTTTACCTCTGTTTGTTGTTATGACAAAGCTCAACCCCACCTATGTGTACCCACCCTTCATGATTCTATATAACTGTGCTGTAAGGGGAAAGGGGACGGGAAGGTGCTGACGATGGTTGGAAGTAGAGGACTATGAGACTGAGGAGACGCAGAAGAAAATGTAACGAGGTAGAGGACTTCGAGGTCTACGAGAAGACAAGCATGATGGAACTGTGATGACTGGGACTACAACCAAAACTACGACTAACAGGCAGGGATGGTTGGGGATTGGAATTGGGAGGAAATATGGAAACACGGTAAAGGGAAGTTGACACTGGTGGTGGGATTGTTGCTGGAATATATGTCGAAAATTCAACAGTCAATAACTTTGTAAATCATGGTTCTTTAATTAAATAAAAATATTTTTAAAAAGGGCTGGAGCGATAGCACAGCGGGTAGGGTGTTTGCCTTGCAAGCGGCCAACATGGCTGACCCGGGTTCAATTCCTCCACCCCTCTCGAGAGCCCGGCAAGCCACAGGGAGTATCTCGCCCACACGGCAAAGCTCGACAAGCTCCCCGTGATGTATTTGATATGCCAAACACAGTAATAAGTCTCACAGTGTTACTGGGCCCGCTCAAGCAAATTGATGAACAACGGGAGGACAGTGATAGTGACAGTGATTTTTTAAAAGAATTGAAAAAAAAAAACTACGACTATGATTGTGCAGTAAGGGGAGAGAGCGGACTATGCTGGGGAAGAGAGAGAAGAACCGACTGCCGACCAGCCTGGGGCCCTGTTTTCCTGTTTCTCCACTCTCCCGGTCCCTCGTCCACCCGTTGCCGTGGCCGCCAGGGGAACAGCTCTCGGCCACCGAACGCTCGAGTCCCCCTCGTTTTTCTCTGAGACTCACAAGGTTATTCAGGTTTGGGTCTCAGGATTTCAGTGTTGTTGACTCTGGCCTGTTGTGCTGTCACTAACCCACTCACATCCCCTCCCCTCCCCCGCCGCGTCTCTCCTCTCCCACCCCTTCCCCCACCCCAGCACACACTTGTCTGTCTTCTCCCTACGTTTTGGGACCAAGGGTGGTCTAGGCATCCCCCTTTAAACCATTGTGTGGCTTGTGTTTTTATAAGTAAAATACAGTTAAATTATATTAACATTTCACTTTGAAATATTCCACCAATGTGTACACTGATTTATGCAGCTTTCTGTATATAAGATATACTTCAATATAATTTTGTTAAATTTAATGCATAATTTAGTACATACTTAGTACATACCAAGACATAATATCTGAATTACTTAAAATGGGACATTGTATCTTAAAACTCACACGCATCTCAAGAGGGTGTGTTAGCAAATAGAACGCTTTTCAGTTTAAATAAATGTTTAAGAACTTTAGCCCTTTCTTGGACTGGAAGGGTAGTAGCAGAGCAAGAAGGGCTCTTGCTTTGCACACTGCCAACCTGGTCCATGCCCGGCATTCCGTATGGTTCCCTAAACCCCACTAGGAGTGATTCCTGAGTGCAGAGCCAAGGGTAACCCCGGACGCTGCCGGGTGTGGCATCCCCCCAAAATGTGAAAAGAAATTAAGCTCCTTCTAGTCACAGAAGTAGACTATAAGGATAGTCAACAGTTAAGTTTCTCCTGTCTCATTATTATTATTCTACATAATCGATATACCAAACACAGTAACAACACGTCTCACAATGGAGACGTTTCTGGTGCCCACTCAAGCAAATCGATGAACAACGGGAGGACAGTGCTACAGTGCTACTATAGGTTGAATTTTATTTTCTTTATCTCTTATGTTTTGGGGGTACCAAACCAGTGGTGCTCAGCAGCTACTCCCTGGAGTGGTTAGGGGACCATGTTGTGCCAGGAATCAAACCCCGAGCGCCCAAATGGTCTCCTTCTGAGCCATCTTCCCACTCCAGAGTTGTTTTTTAATTATAAAATTCTAGAAGTGTTACTTTCCCCCACAGGTATGGCTTCGGAACTGGGGAGGTGGCCCAGAGGACGGGCGTGAGATGAATGCAGTTCCCGGCACTGCATCTGAGCCCTGGGGGTATTCAGTGTGGCCTCCACACAGCCTGGCCGGCGTGCTACTTGGGAGTGCTCCTAACTATATAAGGAGCAGAAGTTCTGTATTTCCATATTTTGAGATTTGTTTATGGTCATCATCATGGGCCAGATCATGGTTTATAAGCCAGTGTATTTGAAACAAACTTTGCCTTTATTAGAATAGTTTATACATGATAATTACGTAAAACTTGTTCATTGCCATATATTTTCTAGGGGAATAGATAGTATCAAGTGATGGCAAACTCCTGGCTTGACTTTTGATTGTAAAACTGAAATTACTGGGGGGTGAGAGGTTGGGAGAGAGGGGTGTGACCAGAGAGAATTCGCTGGGGATGGGTGTGGTATTGGAATTATGTCTGTGAGAAACCATTATTAATAGCATTGCAAACCACAGAATCTCCATGAAAAAAACAAACAAACAAAAAAGTGTTGTGACTGAAATTACCACCAGTGGTGGAGGGAAAAGGTGGCTGGAAGGGACCAAGGACAGTGCAGGAGGGTGTGGTTGCTTCGGAGGTGGTGAAGTCCCAGGATGTTCAGCAAAACCATAAGCATTTAACACTGTTGCAACCATGTTACCTAAGGTGTAATAAAAACAAGTTAAAATTCTGCAGTTTAAAGAAGAACCCTCTGTTGTGCTGGTTAAATGATCTCAGTAGTTGGAAATCAGCAGTCTAATATTTATTAGTGTAAAAGCAGATATTTCAGACATTTTGTTGGCCTGACAGGTGTGTTTTGGCACAATAAACACATTTCTTTTTAAGTGGAAGTTTCTAGAACTCAGCACTTGATAGTACTTAGTTTTGTAGGAAAGTCGTGCTCCATTTGCCCTCTGAGGTTCATAGGTAGCCGTTAAGACTGCTGAACACATTACATTTATTGTTCCATCTTTAAAGTCAAGAAAATGCTTGAACTCTATTTGATGTGTGGAAAAGTAGAATTGGAAGGAGAGGGTTAGAGTCACTCTTTTTGCAGGGACAGGGGCCACACCTGGCAATGCTCAGGAGTTACTCCTGGCTTTGCATTCAGGAATTGCCCCTGGTGGCCTCCAGGGACTGTGCAGGGCTCTGGGGATCGAACCCGAGTTGGCTGTGTGCAAGGCAAATGCCCACCACTGGGCTATCGCTCCAGTCCCTAGAAGCACTCTTAGGAATGGGGGTGGGGGGTGCGCAGAGCGATTGTGGCAGGGCGTTTGCCTTGCACGCAGCTGACCCAGGTTCAATCCCCAGAATCCCGTATGGTCCCCCAGCTGCTCCGCCAGGAGCCAGGAGGAAGCCCTGAGCGTCAAACAAGACAGAAAAGAATCCCCAAGGATGTAGCTTAGCAGCAGGGCGCTTGCCTCGCACATCGCAAGCCTGGTGCAGCCCCTGGCACCACAGAAGGAAAAACAAGCTCGAGGGTGACAGGAGCGGAGGGCTTGGAGGAGGCGCACGTGGCCGCCTCGGACCCTGAGCCACACTGTGCTTTCCTCCCTGCAGGGGGGAAACCCGCGTGTTGAACTTACCCTCTCGGAGCTCCAGGACATGGCGGCCCGGCAGCAGCAGCAGATCGAAAACCAGCAGCAGATGTTGGTTGCCAAGGTGAGTTGTAGAGGCCGCGAGGGGCAGTGTGCTCTCAGCCTTGGTGGCAGGTTGGGGTCAGCGCTCTTGTGGGCAACACTGCGAATTGGGACTCCGACCCAGGACGGCTGGCACAGCGCTTTTAAAACTCTTTTCTGTAGAGCGTATTGTTCTCGAAGTTGGAAAGGAAGGTACCAGAGCAGTCCTACCTGGCCTCCATCAGGTCCACCCCGCCCAGAGAAGGAAATGGTTGACCGTGTCCAACCCGTAGATAAAGTCCGAAAGCAGGATGCTTTGTGTTTCCTCTTGTCTTCTTTTGACTGGCCCAATGGCTTAGCGTTCCTGGACGCTGAGACAGTGTGAGCACACGGGGTCGCGTGGCGACAGTTCAGAGCAGGGAACACTCCACACTCTGCACTGAGCTTTACAGAGTCGGGGCTTGAAATTTGCTAATCGTAGGATTTGAGATTTTTCGAATGATTCAGTCATGGGCTAGCCTCTTACCTGTCACTCACATCTTCTGGAAATGATTTGTGTGTTCCTGCCCTTAAATGCTCTGAAATTGCTTTAAAGAGAACATGAAAGCATCGCTTTCTCTGTGAGAGATTTTTTTACTAACCAAAAGTTGAGTCCCACTTTCCAAACGGCGCGGTGGCTCATCAGAGTCTCCACCTCCATGTAAATCACGTTTTGCATTGGAACTGTTTTCGGAGGTTGTCTTATAAAATTAAATACAAATCAGAGTAATACAGAATTTTTGAATTCTCCTTTTTCTTTTCTTCATAAATAATGATCTCTGACGAGTGCTGTTGAAGGGAGTGCCCAAGGGCTGGAGGCCACGCTCTGCATAGGGAGCCCTGGACCGACACCACATGGTCCCCAGCCCCCTTGGGAGTGCCCCTAAGCCCTGCACTGGGGTAACCACGGTGCGAATGACAAGCTAAGGCTGACTTTTGTGTGCTGGGCACTGACGTCCTCCTGTCAGCTGTGGTCTCATGTCTGTAATCGTGATAAAAGGCTCCTACTCAGATATGTCTCATGCGCATCTGTGCAGCTATGAGGATTTCACATGGATTTCAGCTGCCTGCGTGTTAATAGGGAAAAACGATCGAGGAGTACTGAATATTTTTGCCTCAGGACTTTCCTGTTCTTCCTTGGCTCTAAAATGTCTTCCATCAGTTTTGAAGAAACAAGTCCTACCTAAAGAAAGCCAAACACTTCCTCTCCTGTGGGATGTCACTTAGCAAATGAGAGGTTTGGGGGGCGGGGAGGGGGTGGGGAGCGGGTCACACCTGGCGGTTCTCAGGACCACTCCTGTCCAGGGGCCAGATAGGGGCAGGGATGAAAATGGGTTCGGCTGCGTGGGATCAGCTTGGGGTGAGCACATTCCAGGGCAGATGCCTTCGCCCTGTCCTTTCCCCGTGACTGCAGTGGGAGGTTTCCTTTCTTCTCGTCACCTTCTCCCTGTGCAGTCCAGGCCCCTCTGGGTCACTGCCCGTTTCCTGAGGAGGGGAATGAGGGGCCTTGGAGGCCGCGTGGAACAGCAGGAAACCCGGGCTGGCTCAGCCACCCAGACAGGACGCAGCCGCGCGCACCGTGCTGCACTCCCCCGGCTCCCACGCCCGGCACGTGCTGCCATGTGGCACGGTGTGTCCAGAGTCCCCTGGCGTATCTCTGACGCTCACTGGGACCGGCAGTGCCGAAATCACCTGCCTTGTTCGCTAGTGCGTGAAAGTCACCTTGTGTCTGGAAATTCAAACTTAACTGTGTCATTTTTGATCAGGAGCAGCGTTTGCATTTTTTAAAGCAGCAGGAGCGCCGTCAGCAACAGTCGACTTCCGAAAACGAAAAGCTTCAGAAGTTGAAAGAACGAGTTGAAGCCCAGGAAAACAAGCTAAAGAAGATCCGGGCCATGAGAGGACAAGTAGACTACAGCAAAATTATGAACGGCAATCTGTGTACGTACCCCCGTCCCACGTGGGCCCCCCCACACACAGGCGGTCTGTGTACATACCCAGTCCCACACAGCTCCCACACACACGGGAGCAGCCCGCTTTGGGTGTGTCCAGAGTGCACTCAGCTTTTCTGTGTCCCTTCCCTGGCAGGGCAGTAGGAGACCGTCTGTAGGGACGGCGCCGTGGCCTCCGGCTGGGACACTGTGGGCAGAGTTCATATCAGAGCCTGTCTCACCAGAGCCTCTCCAGTGTTGCCTGGGAGTTAGGATAAATGATACAATGTTCCTGGATGATTCTGTGGGACTGTGTACTAATAATTTCAGTTAGTGCGTGCTTTTATGTTACGGAGATAAAAAGCAAAGCAGACCTAAATGATTTTGCCTCTGAAAGCCTTTGGTCAGTGAACAAGCTGGTTTTCGGACCATTTGCCTTAATTAAAGGCTCTCTGACCATCAGTCCAGATACAATTGCTTGGACATATGAGCAGCCAACCCGTCTTCCAAGGGTATGTTGGTGTGTGTGTGTTGTATTATAGGTAGAGAACATTTTCCTCTCAAGGCACGGTCCTTAGTATGTTAGAATTGAGTTCAGTAGAGAGAAATGATGAAGAAAAGCACCAAGCACAAATAACAACATAAATACTATCACAGAGTGATTTTTTTTTCTCCCTTTATTGGTGGGCAATTGTAGCTGCTGAAATTGAAAGGTTCAGTGCCATGTTCCAGGAGAAGAAGCAGGAGGTGCAGACGGCCATCCTGAGGGTGGACCAGCTCAGCCAGCAGCTAGAGGACTTGAAGAAGGGGAAACTGAATGGCTTCCAGGCGTACAGCGGCAAACTGACGGGCCCAGCAGCCATGGAGCTGAAAAGACTGTACCAGGAGCTGCAGGTGAGCTGTGGGCCGGGCCGGGACCAAAGGAACCGGAAACAAATGAATGGCTTCTGGTTGTGTGGCAATTCTACAAAATATATTTAGTACGAAAGACTTTTCAGAGGCCTTTGGAATTTAATTACAATAGCATAATTCACTCAGTTAAAGTGTAAAATTAAGTGGGTATTTTTTCTAGCATCTTCACAGAGGAAGCACTATTGATCTAAGATTATCTTACGTACCCCCAAAAGAGGGCTGGAGCAATAGCACAGCGGGTAGGGCATTTGCCTTGCATGCAGCCAACATGACCAACCCGAGTTCGAGTCTTCTGCCCCTCTCGGAGAGCCTGGCAAGCTACCAAGAGGATCTCACCTGCACGGCAAAGCCTGGCAAGCTACCCGTGACGTATTCGATATGCCAAAAACTGTAACAAGTCTTACAATTTGTTGTGAGACGTTACTGGTGCCCGCTCAAGCAAATCGATGAACAGTGGGAGGACAGTGCTACAGTGCTAATCTGCTGTATTTTTTTTTTTCCTGATGCACTCATCTGGTGCTGGGAATTGAACTCAGGAATTTTTTTTTTAAATTTTTTAAATTTTTTAGTAGTGAATCACCATGGGGTACAGTTGTAGACTTTCATTCTTGCATTTCAGTCATACAATGATCGAGTACCCATCCCTCTACCAGTGCCCATTCTCCACCACCACTGATCCCAGTATCCCTCCCACCACCCCCACCCCACCCTGCCTCTGTGGCAGGGCATTCCCTTTTGTTCTCTCTTTCCTTTGGTGTTGTAGTTTGCACTAGAGGCATTGCGAGGTCATTGTGTTTGGTCTGTAGTCCACATTTGTCTCGCATCTCCCTGAGCTGGGCTGGCCCTCCAGACACCCTTTACTTGGTGTTCCCTGCTCTGTCTGAGCTGCCTTTCCCCCAGCGTGGGAGGTCGGCTTCCAAGCCATGGAGCAGACCTCCATCTCAGGGCTTCTTGAGCCATCTCCTCAGTCCTTTTTTTTTCCTGGGGGGTGGGGAGGCTTTCTGAGTCACATCTGGTGGTGTCAGGGGTTACTCCTGGCTCTGCACTCAGGAATTACTCCCGGGGGTGCTCGGGGGACCCTATGGGATGTCAGGGATTGAGCGTAAGTTGGCCACATGCCAGGCAAATGCTCTCTCTGCTTTGGTTCCTCCCCAGTCCTTTTTCTTTCTTTTTTTCTTTTTTTTTTTTCTTTTTGGGTTACTCCTGGCTCTGCACTCAGGAGTTACTACTCCTGGCAGTGCTCAGGGGTCCATATGGGTTGCTGGGGATTGAATGTGGGTCGGCAGATTAAACCTTTTTTTTCATCTTTTTTATTTTGGTGCAATTTATTATTTTTTTATTTTTTTATTTTTTTATTTTTTTTGCTTTTTGGGTCACACCTGGCAATGCACAGGGGTTACTCCTGACTCTGCACTCAGGACTTACTCCTGGCGGTGCTCAGGGGACCATATGGGATGCTGGGAATCGAACCCAGGTTGGCCGCGTGCAAGGCAAATGCCCTACCCGCTTTGCTATTGCTCCAGCCCCTATTTTGGTGCAGTTTAGAGGTTTGTCTTTTTTTTCCCAGCACCTAGCCTCCTGGTTAGTGCACTCATACTGTTGTGGTCGTACTTATGCTTGGGTGTCTCCAAAGGATGCTGAGACACTGCTTGGACAGTGCAGTTACACAGCTGCGTACACAGAGGGTTACACAGAATATAGGTAACCCTCAGCTTCACTGGCGCCAATCATTCTGGATGGTTCTATCACAGTATGTTCTGGCTTCATCTGTTTTCTACTGCAAAGTGTTTGGGACACAGGCCATAGTGTCAGTATGTGCCTACTCAGGAGACCTTGGTGTTTCTTGCTTATTTGGTTTTAATCTTCCAGACAGTGAGAACTTGGCCATTTAGTTAATGCACATCCTAAAAGTTGCATTTTCCGTTTTTCAGATTCGTAATCAGCTTAACCAGGAACAGAATTCAAAGCTCCAGCAGCAGAAGGAACTCTTAAATAAGCGCAACATTGAGGTGGCCATGATGGACAAGCGAATCAATGAACTTCGGGAACGTCTTTACGGAAAAAAAATTCAGGCATGTTAAAAAGAAAATAATTTTGTATCTTAATCACTAACAGTGGTTCACCCCCCAAAGCACCATTTTCCTCCAGGGCCATTTTGTTTCACTTGATAAAACATACATTGACCGTAAGCCAGAGAAAAACGTCAAAGGGAAATTCTCTTTCTCCAAGTCACGTTTGTTTCTTGCTACTTGAAATCCTAACCCTTCTGTGCAGGGCTGGGCCCGGCTGACTCCCGCCCGCCGGGCCAGCTGTGCCACAGGTAGATTCCTTGAATTTGTGTAGCCTCATCTTACCATGAACTGCTTTTTCCTGCCTCATTCAAGAATTTCTGATGATTCCTTTTTGGTTTGGTTTGGTTTGGTTGGTTTTTTTGTACTACACCTGTTGGTGGTCAGAGCTTATTCCTTGCTCTGTGCTCAGGGATCACTTCTGGCATGGATTGGGGGAGGGGCATCTGTAGTGCTGGGGATGTTGTAACACTGCTTCGGCCCCTAGTCTGACGGTTCTTAAAGATAACCCGGGTCGCTTGCAAACATCTTAGCAAGTGCTATATAAGGGGTGAGTGCTTTGGGAAAATCCTTTTTTGGTATTCTGAATTTTAGCGGCATTAAACCAGTACAGAAGTATGTAAAGAAATATGCAGCCCTTCCACCCTGTTCTCCAGGGATGGCAGTTAATAATTTCTGTCTTCTGCTTAACAGAAATAGAAAGGTGTTTTTCACTGTAAATAGAATCATAGGAATTCTGTGACATTCTGCACGTTGCTCCAGGGCCTCTGTTCAGATCATTACCTGATCCTTCTGTCACGTCTCTGTACACCTTGTCCCTGGACCCGCGGTCACTCTCACCCAGCCCTGTTGTGCTCTAGGGTGTCCCTGAGTCTTGCTGTTCCCTTGGAGCCAGAGCTTGTGCGGAATCAGTGCTGCTCTGGCGGGGGTGGTACCAGGCTGGAGGGGCCAGCGCTGGTCAGTGCTCGTAGGCCACGATTGCCCGGTGCTGCGGTTGGAGAAGCCCGAGAGGAACAGCCAGCCCCTCCGAGCGTCACCTACGGGGATCTCTGGGGAAGCTTAAGGATCAGCCGTCAAAGCTGGTGGCTTTCCTCTCCCTTTGACACAGGCGGTGTTGGCTGACACGCTTCCTACAGTGGTGGACCCTGGGCAGGGCCTCATGGGGTCTGGAGAGAAATGATCTTCCGGGACCTTCGTTGACTGCATGTGGCCCCCTTGCATTATGGAGTAGTGACTTTCCTGGTGGCCATCAGCACTGCCACAGTTGAGCATTGTCTGGTCTGACCCAGCCAGCTGAATGTCTCCAGGCGTGGCCCCTAGGCCCCTGTTTGCAGTCCACCCTCCCCCCAAAATAAGACCTAGTCTCATGGGCAGCTTATCTTCCCCGTAGTAATTTAGGCGTACTTGAGCACATCCCAGGGCACTGCAACCCGGGCAGGTTGCAGAAACCACCACAGAAGGCACAGTCGAGTTGCATTTCCCTGGAGATCCTGGGCGCCTTGAGCAGCGAGGTTGGGGGGCCTGGCCCCTCAGTAGCACAGCCAGGGCGCACAGGGTTCTGTGGATCTCTGGCTCGTCCAGGAGCCCCGAGAAAGTCACTGGCTCTGGAGCTCGGTTCCAGCCCCTTCGGGCAGTGGCGGCGCCACCAGATTCGCGCTTGGCTGCGGCTGGGGTCCTGGAGCAGGACGGCTGAGCTGCCTCATGGCTTCAGCCTTGTTGCGGTGGCGCGTACGGCGGCCCCTGGAGGTCTCAGCTTGTGTGGACCCTGGCGGGTGACAGTCGCATGAGCCACAGCCCTGAGCGTCTCTCCTCTCTCCTCTCGCAGCTGAGCCGTGTGAATGGCACGTCGTCGCCACAGTGCCCCCTGAGCACGCCTGGCCGGGTGGCCGCGGTCGGGCCCTACATCCAGGTGCCCAGCGCTGGCAGCTACGCCGTCCCGGGAGACCCCGTCAAGCCCCAGTCTCTCACCATTGCCTCCAGTGCCGCCCACGGAAGGTCCAAATCTGGTGAGTGGACTTCGCCCTCAGGGCCAGAGCAGGGGAACTGCCCCCCCACCCCAGTGCTGCCCACGGCTGTGCTGGCACCGCACGGGGAAGCTGGGTGCTGTCCCGGACGCCCAGAGCAGTTCTCTTCACGCGCCGTGCCCCGCGTCTGACAGTCCAAATGGGCTCTCTGAGCCCAGGTTTCAGCGCTGGGCTCTTTAGCTGCCAGTCAGCACCCCTTTAGGCCCGGATTGCTGTTTCTGCGTGGCCTTCCCCGTGTGTCACAGTCCCCTGAACACGGAACTGCCCAGCTGCAGGGCTGTGAGCAGGTGTGGCCGCGTGCACACAGGGTGTCGGCATGTCCTCCCCTTCCTGGGGACCTGCTGTCTTCTTTGACCTTTTTTTTCTGTGAGGACAGATGAAATTCTGGGTTTCACACCTATAAGGCAAGTTCTTACCCATGGGGCAGTCCCCGGCCCGCTCTGATCCCTTTCCCCTCGACGGTGCTCTCACCGTGGCTGTGGGTCCCCTCACAGCAAGGGGACGCGGGCATTAGGGCTCCCTGGGCTGTTCGTCTGCTGCGCTCTGTCCCCTGTGCGCCTGCTGACCCTCCTGGTCAGTCTGTATCTCCTGACCGCCTTTTGGTCGCGACGCTCTCACCCCCAGCACCTGCTATGAGCCGCAGCGCCTCTGTGGGAGCTGGTGTGGGGTGTCCACCCCTGTGCCTGGCTCAGATCTCTGCAGCCAGTGCGTGGTCGGTGAAGCCCTAATTGCAGCTTTCTTTGCGCGGTGCTATTTATAGTCTGAACCCGTTTCCCGTGGCAGACAATGAGAGCCATCGACTAATGGGCTTTCAAAGCCTGCCAGAGCTGGAAGTGTCTCCTGATCCCCTCCTCGGGTGTGGAGCGCCCCCACAGGGCTGCAGGAGGTCACACGTTCCAGAGCCGGAAAATGTCTCTGCACACTGCAGAACTAGCTGCATCCGCGGACCCGCGGGAGGCCCGCTCACCCGGCACCAAGCAGGGACCAGTCTCGGTCCGGATGGAGAGCTTTCCGGGGACGAGGACTCTCCCTGGCAGGAACTCTAATCCTCAGCCCTCGACTGTCCTGGTTCTGTGACTCACAGGTGACCACAGTAAGCCCAGAGTGGCCAGCTCGTGGACAGTGTCAGATCTCGACGTCGGGCCTGGCGGCCTATCTGCAAACCGTATGTGGGCAGGCTGGCCGGGGGCAGCGCGAGCTCTCTAGCGCCGAATCAACAATCACCTCTTTCCAAACTGGCAAAGGTCTGCTGCTCGCTTTAAGCACGAAACGTGGCACTGAACCAAAACATGCCTCCTGGTCAGCCCAGTCATGCAGGCTGGCCCCGTGGCTGCTCTTAGGGCAGGCTGAGGGGCACAGCAGAGGCTCTTGATTTTTTTTTTGCTTTTTGCTTTTTGGGTCACACCCGGTGATGCACAGGGGTTACTCCTGGCTCATGGACTCAGGAATTACTCCTGGCAGTGCTCAGGGAACCATATGGGATGCTGGGAATTGAACCTGGGTCGGCCACATGCAAGGCAAAGGCCCTACCCGCTGTGCTATCACTCCAGCCCCAGCTCTTGATTTTGTTAAGAAATTAACAGGATTTCCTAAGCTTACTGTGAGACTTAAGCTTCTGTTGTTCCGAGTTGCTGGATCCAGCCCAGGGCCCCATCCCTGCAAGGCCAGTGCCCCAGGGCTGAGCCCCGGCTTCAGCCCTGAAGCTTCTAGTTTTGTCCCCAGTCCAAGAACCCCATCGTGCTTCAGGTTGGCGGCCCACCTTCGCGCATTGCCACAGCCGCCTGTGAGCTAGCGGCGCCACGCAGTGTATCCCCTTCATAAAAAATAATCTGCCTCCTGTGGCCGAGGAGTGAAACGTCCTAGCTAGCTTCTTAGTTCCCTGGTGGCCTGTTCAGCAGGCTACAAGCAGAGCAGAGGGCTGCGTGTCTCCCCCACGGGCCTCCCCCAAGCCCGCTGGGGCTCCGCTGGCCAGTGCCAGGATTAGCCGTGTGGCGAGGTAGCCGAGCCACTGCTGCAGCCGGCACTGGGCTGCGGGCCTGTCCCCGTGCTGCCAGTCCTGGGGGTGGATCGTTCTGCTCTCCAGGCCGCGGCCGGGTTGTCAGATGGAGAGAGGCTCAAGGACGTGCCTGTCCAGCACCTTGGCTTCCCCCTCTGCGCACAGGAGAAGCTTGCAGGGGATGCGTTCACAGCCTTTCTCAGTTTGGAAACTGCTCTGCAGGGGCGGGCAGGGGGCTCATGATCGCACCCTGAATCGGGAGGGGGCCTGATGCCTGTGATCACCAATTCTGTTAGGCATGGTCCAAGCTGACCCTCTCCTCAGACTCGAGTCAGGAGGGGGCCAGGGCTCTGCTGCTGCCCGTGATTGCCAGCTGGTCAGGGAGCAGGGCCGCGCTCGCGTCCTTCCTCCCGGCCACAGTGCCCTGCAGCACCCGTGGTACCCAGTGTGTGTGCTGCTGGGCTGGGGCATGCCTCATCCAGACACAGTGGCCCAGAGGAGCGTTTGTCTCTCCTCGGAGCCTGTTCTGATGTCGATTCTATTAATTAAAAAAAAAAAACATTTATTTCAACTCTTGTGTTCTTTTCAAGCGAATGATGGAAACTGGCCAACATTAAAACAGAATTCGAGTTCTGCAGCGAAACCCACGCAGCCGGCCGGCGTGGACTGGAAGGACTCCAGCACCGAGGGGCCGCTCAAGCAGGGGCCGGTCTCCAGCCAGCCGGTGCCCTTGGCGGCGTTAGGCGGCACAGAGAAACTGGTAAGCCCCGTGTCTCCCGCAGAAGACGAGCGCGACTCTGGGCGTCTCTGCTGCCTTGTCTCCGTCTGGGGCCTGGGAGGTGTCGTGAGGCAAATTAATTGTGAGTTGCCGTCCCTGTCACAGCCACGGTCTGGAGGCCATGGGCCCTGCAGTGTGCCCGCGGTCCTGGCCGCAGGCCGCGTGCGGGGTCAATGTTTCCCTTCTCCTGGGACGTTGGCACGCTTCTCTTTCCAAGGCTGACTTGTCTTTCACTTCCCAACTGAATTCAGGGCATGGAGATGGGGAAAGCGCCGCCCCCCGTGCCCGGCGCCAGCAAGCAGCTGCCTCCAAGCTATGGGACCTACCCAAGTCCTGCGCCCCTGGGCCCCGGCTCGACAGACTCCCTGGAGAGGAGGAAGGAGGGCAGCTTACCCAGGCCCAGCGTGGGCCCGCCCAGTCGGCAGAAGCCCGCCCCGCTTCCCCCTGCGGGGGGCACGCACCAGCCCCCTGGTTCCTCACAGCAGATTCAGCAGAGGATTTCCGTGCCGCCCAGCCCGACATACCCACCAGCGGGGCCGCCTGCGTTCCCGGCGGGAGACGGGAAGCCTGAGCTCCCCCTGACTGTGGCCATTAGGCCCTTTCTGGCTGATAAGGGCTCCAGACCGCAGTCCCCCAGGAAGGGACCCCAGACAGTGAACTCAAGCTCCATCTATTCTGTGTACCTCCAGCAAGCCACGCCACCCAAGAATTACCAGCCAGCGGCCCACGGCGCCTTAAATAAGTCTGTCAAAGCAGGTAAAGCGGTTGTGTGCGCACCCCGACTGGGCAGGCGGGAGGTCGCGTTCCCCTTGAGAAGATGCCGCCCCCCCGCACTTGGACCTGGGCCCATGCAGCCGTGGGTGTCTGCGGGGGGCAGAATGGGGAAAGCGGAGAAGGGTGAGCACAGCCCTGGTGACGGCCACAGGTGCCTCTGGCGGTGCCTGCTGATGAGGCAGGGGCAGGGAGCTCTCTGGAGCCGCCCCAGGCCAGCAGGGTGGGGTGCAAGCAGGGGAGGGGAGGAGGCGCTGGGCCCCGAGCCAGGGACCTGCAGCTGGAGGCACAGTGCTTCCCTGGGGTGGGGCGAAGGGCCCCCGCACTCTGGCTCCTGGGGCTCCCGTCAGACGTGCATCTGAGGAAGCCCGTATTGGTGCGTGTTCCGGCGTGGCTAGCACAGGCCAGCTTTTCATTGAAAAAGCCCCAATTCTGAAACTCCAGGTGCAAAGTCTGACCCATCAGGGAGACTTCCCCTTCCCACAGGAGCTGGCGGTGGTTCTCAGAATAGGGGTTCCTCGGGGTTGTGGAAATCAGGGTGCAAGAGAGCACTTGCCTTGAGCGTGGAGTTCCAACCCCAGCACACCAGAAAGAAAACCTCAGAATCGGGGATCTTGGTCCCTGGGGCTCCCCCCACCTGTCAGAGACCCAGAAAGCTGACCTCAGTCCGGAGTGCTGAGCCCATCCTCCTGTCTCCTCCAGTGTACGGCAAGCCCGTGCTCCCCTCGGGCTCCACGTCCCCGTCGCCGCTCCCGTTCCTTCACGGCTCTGCGCCCCCCGGCACGGCACAGCCTCCGCCACCCTCAGACTGTGCCGAGAAGGAGCCCGAGCCCGACGGCCCGGCGCTGGCAGGGGAGGGCGGCTCCGGCACTGGCACCGGCACCGTGGAGAGCCTGGCGCGGCCCCTCAGCCCCACCAAGCTCACGCCCATCGTGCACTCCCCGCTGCGCTACCAGAGCGACGCCGACCTGGAGGCCCTGCGCAGGAAGCTGGCCAACGCGCCGCGGCCCCTGAAGAAGCGCAGCTCCATCACGGAGCCCGAGGGCCCGGGCGGCCCCAACATCCAGAAGCTCCTGTACCAGCGCTTCAACACGCTGGCCGGCGGCATGGAGGGCGCCCCGTTCTACCAGCCCAGCCCCTCTCAGGACTTCATGGGCACCATCGCGGACATGGACAATGGCAACACCAACGCCAACGGGAACCTGGGGGAGGCCAGCCCTGCCCAGCCCACCGCCCCGCTGCCCGGGGAGCCCGCCCCGTCCTCAGATGCCAACGACAACGAGCTGCCTTCCCCCAAACCGGAAGGGCTTGTTGGCCCTCAGGCCACCCGCCCGACAGCCGAGCCTGCCGAGGACAACAACAACAATGTGGCCACAAGCCAGACGGCGGAGCAGGTCCCCAGCCCAGGCGCAGAGGCCCCGTCTCCAGGGGACGAGCAGGTGCCCCCGGCTGTCCCCCCCGCCGCACCCCCGCCAGCAGCCTCCACGGTGGGTATCGTTGCGCGCTCAGACCCCAGCTTCCTTGTCACCCGCCTAGTACTTGATGCTCGCCTGAGGTTGGCATGGTGCCAAGGGCAGGGCGTCCCCAGGCTCACCAGGGACAGTCACATCTGCACACTGTAGGGACTCAAAGAACACTAGAGCTCAGTCTTTCTAGAAGGCTCCTGAAGGAGTCTGCAGGGCAGCAGGCAGTGAGAACACTCTAGAAAGAGCTGAGGGGAGGGGCTGGAGTGAAAGCACAGCGGGGAGGGCGTTTGCCTTGCACGCGGCCAACCTGGGTTCAATTCCCAGCATCTCGTATGGTCCCCTGAGCACCGCCAGGAGTAATTCCTAAGTGCATGCATGAGCCAGGAGTAACCCCTGTGCATGGCCGGGTGTGACCCAAAAGCAAAAAAAGAGAAAAAAGACAAAAAAAACCTTGAGGGGAGGGCAGTGTGGATGCCGCAGTGTCATGGGAGCTGGTGGCATGAGCTACCTGCTTCCCGAGGAAGAAGCAGCTCGGGAACTCGCAGTCACCGTCCTCACTCCCCTGTGGGCACCCCAGCGCCAGGCCGATGGTCGGCCCCTGCGGTGCACCGGTCACCCGGAGACCACCAGCCCACCCGGCCCCTGCACGGCGGGTCTTGCCTCTCCCTCAGAGCCGGGCTTCCCTCCTTCCCGCCCGCAGAGCAAGCGGACAAACCTGAAGAAGCCCAACTCGGAGCGGACAGGCCACGGGCTGCGCGTCCGATTCAACCCCCTGGCGCTGCTCCTGGATGCGTCCCTGGAGGGGGAGTTCGACCTGGTGCAGCGGGTCATCTACGAGGTGAGCGAGCTGCGGGCTGCGCCGGGGGCGGGTGGGGCGGGGCTCGGCTCACACCTGCCTGTGTCCCAGGTGGAGGACCCCAGCAAGCCCAACGACGAGGGCATCACGCCACTGCACAACGCAGTCTGTGCTGGACACCACCACATCGTGAAGTTCCTGCTGGACTTCGGGGTCAACGTGAACGCTGCCGACAGTGACGGCTGGTAGGCGCCTTCCTGAGGCCCGGCCCCGGAGCCTCCTTGAGCTCCCGCGGCTCAAGGAGCGGGCGAGGCTCTGGGTGCGGGGAGGGTGGGAGACGGGAGAAGTGTGCTTGCCCTCTGCGACAGCTGCTGCTGTCCATCAAGCTGCTGGCGGACAGGGGCGCTGTCCGCTCCCCCCGCTAGCCGCCTCGGGACAGGCCAGGCCCAGTGTCCCCCAGTGCTCTTCGTGAGGGGGCTTCCGCTGCTGTGTGCTTCTGGACCGCTGAGGTGTCCCTGCGGCCTGCGGGCAGCTGACAGACCCTGCCCATTTCACACACGCTTCCCAGCCATTTGCTGTCACCATGCAGTGAACTGGACCTTATGGGCTGTTTCTCAGTCTACTTCCTGCCTGCCGAGGGGTCTGAGACATTTGCATTGGGGGAGGGGGGGAGCATTCGTTTGGGGGTTTGGTTTTGGTGCTCAGGACTTACACCTGGCTCTGCACTCAGAAATCACTCCTGGTGGACATGGGGACCATATGGGGTGCTGGGGTCAGCTGCATGCAAACCAAACACCCTCCCTGCTATCCTGTCAAGCACTCAAGCTGTGGCCCAGGACTTGTGAATGGGAGTCCTGTCACTAAGGAGAACAGCAGCTGGAGCGCTGGTACAGCAGGTAGTGTTGGCCTTGCACATGGCCAGCCCGGGTTCGACCCCCCGGCGTCCCATATGGTACCCTGAGCACCGCCAGGAAGGATTCCTGAGTGCAGAGCCAGGAGGAACCCCTGACCATTGCTGGGTGTGACCCAGAAAATAAAGAGAAAAAGAGAAAACAGAAACCAGTGGGCTCCCAGGCATGGCACAGCTGAGTCACCCAGGCTGAGGGGTCATCCATTGGGTAAAGGCTAGGGTGCTCGTCTTGCACGTGGCTGACCAGGTTCAATCCCCGGCACCCCATATGCCACCCCACCCCCCAGCAGAACCGGGAGTAATTCCTGAGTGCAGGGCCAGGAGTAACTCCCGGGCACTGTCAGGTATGGCCCCAAATCAGAAAATACCAGTGAGAGCCCCTCAGATAGCCAGAGCATGGTGGGGGACGCGCCACCCAGCACCCCTCCTGGCTCTTGCTGGCAGGACCCCGCTGCACTGCGCCGCCTCCTGCAACAGCGTGCACCTCTGCAAGCAGCTGGTGGAGAGCGGTGCCGCCATCTTCGCCTCCACCATCAGCGACATCGAGACAGCGGCCGACAAGTGTGAGGAGATGGAAGAAGGTTACATCCAGTGCTCCCAGTTCCTCTACGGTATGGAGCACTGACGCGTGGGTGTTCTTTCCTTCCTGAAAGGGCTTGGAGCGTCCCTGTCGCACAGGGCTCTGGGTCCAGTTGCTGAAATACAAGTCCTGTTTTTCGCTGCAGATTTTTGTCTCTTGTGGCCAAGGAGTTGGGGAGCTGGGGACAGGCCTCATTCCTTTAGCACTTCTGCTGAGACACAGCAGGGCCTGGGGTGTACCTGGGTTGGGGCCAGAGGCAGAACACCCTCTCCCGCCGCCACTGAGTGCTGACCACGGAAGGCGGCTCCGTAGCTAGGAGCAGACTGCCCCCAGGCTGGAGGTCACGTCCTCCAAAGGTAGAGAGGAAACCAGCACTGGACCCCAGGGGAGACAGGCGACAGCCCCGAGGCCCAGACTTCCAGGACAGCTGAGCAGCCTCTCGCTGCTCCATGCAAGAACTTTGGCACAAGCTTCGGCAGCTCCCTGTGGGGAGTTGGGTCTAGGTGTGAGGGCCAATCTCACTGGTCCATAAGAAGCCCTTTCAGGAGCCGCAGCTCGTGGTCTATAAGCAGAAGCCGGGGTTTGATTCCCCAGCACTTCATCAGCGCTCAGCCAGGCCTGTTGGGACACGGGCCTCCAGGCTGGCCTTGGCGTCAATAGCCGTCCACTGTGGCAGGGCCAGGCCAGGCCCCCGGCCTCTCTCCAGAGCCACTCTGCAGCCAGCATTGCTGTCTCTTCCAGGGGTCCAGGAGAAGCTGGGCGTGATGAACAAAGGTCTGGTGTACGCTCTGTGGGGCTACGAGGCCCAGAACAGCGACGAGCTGTCCTTCCGTGAAGGGGACGCCATCACGATCCTGAGGCGCAAGGACGAGAACGAGACCGAGTGGTGGTGGGCCCGCCTTGGGGACCGGGAGGGCTACGTGCCCAAAAACCTGCTGGGGGTAAGCATACCAAGAGCAGCCACCAAGGGGACCTCTGAAGGACCCACTGTAGGGTAGCAGGAGTCTCCGGACGCTGTGATACGGGGCATCACAGCCCACCGGGCATCCCAGCCGCCCCCGTCCCTGCCACTGTGAATGGGCAGACACATGGTTTGGGCACACCGTGGAGAGCCCTGGGCTCACCAGGCACCTGTCCCTCACCCAGAATGCTCTGCCGCCCTGGGCTCTCCGACGGGGGTAAGCCAGGAGGGGCCCTGGAGGATTCCTCGCCCTGTCCCCCGGAGGCCTGGGGGGCATTCACTCACGCTCAACTGCCGGCTGTGCCCAGCGGTGAGCTGCCAAGACAGCCTCCAGGAGCGTGCAGAGGGCGCCAGATTCTAAGGAGGAGGAGAGTGGAACTGAGGCCCTAGGGAGCCAGCCCTGTGACCGCCGGGGACCAGGCATGTGCCCACTCTCTGTCCTAACCCATTTCCCTTGCCTCCTAGTTGTACCCGCGGATCAAACCCAGACAGCGCACTCTTGCGTGAAGGCCCCTGTGGGCGCACGGCTCGGGCCCAGACGCTTCAGCTCCAGTGCCGAGGGGCCGCCTTCAGCAGAGCCCACAATGTGAAATGACTAGTTTGTTGGAACCGTCAGAGGAACTTGCCTCCAAGAAGACTGAATTTTGCCAATTACTCTAAATCCAAATAAATATCCAGCTTTCAAAACACCCATTCCTGTTGCCACTAAGAAGCCCCATGATTTAAACCCTGGTTGATTGCCAGTGAAGACTCCAACTTGGCCCCAGTCATCCCTCATCCTCGTCGCCCCAAGAAAACGTGCCACCACTTCCCGGGAATCAGACCACAGCCTCGCCACCTCAGCACCCGCGTCTCTTCCTCCTATGACCAAAGCAGGCCTGTGCGGAGACTTCTGTCCAGTGCCAGTGCCCGTTGCGTCCTGGGCCAGTGGCGCTGGACCTGACTTCCACACTGTGGGCACAGGGGTCCATAAGACCAAGTGGCTCTGCGCCCTCCGCTCCCGCTTCTCTGCAGCCACTCGCGTTCTTACCCTCATGGCACCGCCAGGGAGGCGGTGGGAGGAGGCGGGGCCAGGCCAGGTGGGTGGGAGCTAGGCCTGCTGTGATGTACTGACCTTTGCTCCGTCCCCCTCGGAGGCCTGTAGCCAGCACGCCCGACCCTGGGATGGACTGGATGGACAGCTTGGACAGGCTTTTTCTATACCAAAAGTATTTTTTGACTAGACCATTCAAAATTCCCAGAAGGGTGGTGGGAATACTATTTCTCATTAAAATCTAAGCCCTTAAGTTTTATTTTCCATTAAGTTTCATGTATAATTTATGTATAAACGTGTATAGGCCCACTGCTGTAGATGTCTTAGTAGTGACTGTGCAGTGTGACGGTGTGGGGGGCGGCCTCCCACCTCGCACACCCGCTGTGCATAATAAACCGCGTGTCTCCCGGATGGCTGCGTGTCTTTGTTCTGAAACCGGAGCTCAGCTGTCACAAAGGCGAGGCTGACAAGCCGTGAGACAAGGGCCTGGGCTGTACTTTGAAAATAGGTTTAATCATAAGCTTTATATACAAATTGTGTACACATCGTTTAAGGAAGTGAAGTAGAACGTGAGAAGTACAAAACATCTGGTTCTGTCCCCTAGTGAAGTGTCGAAGTGTCAGAGGTTGGTCTGTGGCCCCAACCCAGTGAGGTGAACTGGCGGAAGGCACTGTAAGACCTGGATGAGTGACCACTGCCTAAACCTCAGGAGGGGGAGGGGGAAGGGGGAGGGGACACTTCCCACCACCCTGGAAGCTATTGGTGAGCTGGAGCCCAGCAGTGTGATCCCACCGCAGCTGGCAGCCCACGTGAGAGCAAGCGGCAGCTTCAAGAGCAGCTAGACTGGGAGCTTATTGCACTAGGCCCACGAACTCCTGTTTCTCCGGCTCGGACAATGGCCCAGCAGACAGGATCCCCTGGTCCACACTGCCGAATCCCACGTGCTTACTGGTCCCGTGACTCGTACAGGAGTTTGGCAGCCTGCAAAGAGGCCAGAAAAACAAGAGGTGCTTGGCCTCGGGTCTGCTCGGAGTTGCTGTGGGCACCGAGCGAGGCAGGAGTGCGTGTTCCCGGGGACAGCCCCCTCCCCAGCCCACACAGTACCTTGTGCATAGCCACCAGCCATGCAGTCGACTGCCTCCTGCTGTCATCCTCCCCGGCCATCAGCCTCAGCTGGCTCAGGCCCTCTACCCCGGGCACAGAGTACTGCAGGGACATGCCCGTGGCCCGTGTGTTGGCCCCTGCAGGACAGACAAGGTAAAAAGGCTGAAGGGACCCTGCGCAGCCCCGATGCTGAGGCTACAGCGCCCCTTCCCAGCCCTCATGCTGGCCAGGGTGCCCCCAGCCCCAACCCCGGAGTGTGAATGGGCTCCAGGGCTTGTGGCAGACACCCAGGTTCACAGAGTAGGGCTGGACCAAGACGCCTAACCAGTGCCCTGCACTGGGCAGACCACAACCATGGCTCCCCGGACGAACTCACTCAGGTCACACCCGTGCGTGCAGCAGGGCTGGTGCCCGAGCAGCGCCTGTCCACACACTGGCTGCGTGGCCAGGCACAGCACCTCCAGGGGTCAGTCAGGAGCTCCCCAACAGACCAGCCAACACCCGCTGAGGACTAGTATGAGCCAGTTCAATGGCACGTGCTCCAGGGAGCCCTGCTGTCTGCTCGGTCCTTGTCCCAGTGGTCGCTGACAGCTCATCCGCGCCAAAGTGGGCCTACGCCTCCTGAACCTCGCACTGCTCTGTGCCAACCTCCCAGCCAGCACGCCACACATGGTCTGATGCCCACAGGCTCCCCTCTCTAGCTCTGCTTTTATGACTCGGGTCCCCCGAGCTCAGGGACCCAGAGCTCCTCTCCTGCCTTCTGGGCTCCACGTGGCGGCAGAACTAAAGGCCCCAGGCCCAGGAAGTGGAGCCCTTCTGTACCGCTGGCCTCCTGGCACCCGGGGCCCCACCGCAGGGGAAACCAGGGTTCTAGGAATTCACGGAAGCAGGGCCCTGTGTTCCCTAAACCACGAGGGGCACGCAGGAGCCTGGAAACCCAGCCCACCAGGGGGTGACCGTCCCGACCCAGCCCCTCGGGTGGGGCTGCAGCACGGTGCCTTCCTATGCGCCTGCAGTTGGCAGCATGCCTCAGGCCACCCACTCCAGGGTCTTGGGCTAGACCTGGGTTGTGGGGGGTACAGGGAGCCTGGCCCAATGGCCTGCACGCACTGGGAGGCAGCAGGCTGGCTAGGGACAGGACAGTATCAAGAGAAGGGCCGCGGGCAGCTCCCCAGGACTCAGCCTGCCTGAGTGAGACCCAGGCAGCAGGTCCCCTTGGGCCCACGAGCACGGAGCAACTTTCCCCCTGCTTCCGGGCCAAGGCTCAGATAAATCCCAAGATGCTGCCGTGTTTCCCCAAAGCTCTGGGGTGGCTCGTCCCAGACAGAGGTACAGGGCCCACAGCATGCTGGGTGCGCACCGTACGGGGTCCTGGCTGACCTTCAGAGACAGGCTGGCTCCCCAGAAGGCTGGTGTGAGCGTGAATGTCTTTTTCTACGTCAAGAAGGCGGGCAGGCAGGAGAGAACAAGCAAGAGCCAATCAGAGAAGAGCCTGCCTGAGGGGTCCCACTCTGCACAAAGCGGGTGATGATGACTATGGACAGGGAAGACCGAGAGGGAAACCCAGTCACCCAGTCTCACTGAATGTTCTGGAAGCTCACCAGGAAATGACAGGAATCCAGGTGCCAGGTGCCAGGCAGGCGCAGGGAGGGCTGGGGCCGAATTCTAGGAGTCACCGCCACTCTGAGCCTTGGGAGTCGGGGGGATGCCAACCACCCTGGGGGCTTCCTCCTGAGCCCCCAGCAGGGGCAGGAGGTCCCCTTGCCTGGGATGCTGGACCCCTTCATACGGCGTGACCCTAACACCGCTGGGCAGACACACGCCCACGTGCCAGGCGGCGAGCTCCCATGCTCATGCCAGCAGGCACTAACTACTGCACAGCCAGGCCCTCCCTCCACTCACCTCCAGGAGCGAAGCCTTCGGTGAGGAGCTGCACAGTGGAGATGTGAGCGACCTCGATCTCGTGGTGGCTGTCTCCGTCCAGAAGCAGGAACCTTCAGACCGTACGTCACGTTACTCCGGGTCGGGGACAGGGAGCCGCCAACACCCAGCCGCCGCCACCCCTCCTCACCTCTGGTTGCTGGAAAGGCGGCAGACCACTGCTTCCGGCTTCTCAGCATTCCCGAAGGTCACCAGGAAGGGGGCTCCTGAGGACAAAGGTGAGGTCTCAGGCTCTGTCTCCCGGGGCCACCAGGCCTGCGACACGGGAGCAAACCGAACAAAGGGCGCCAGGAAGCTTGGCCTGGCGCCTCACTGAGGCAGGAAGGCGGCAGGTGAAAGCAACAAATGAATGATGCTACTCAAGGGCCCCCGCCCTCCCCACCCGCCCCCCAGGAGGCCAGCAGCTCGCAGCCCTAAGGAGAGGCGGCCGAGCCAGCCACCGCTGGAGCAGGGCCAGGGGCGCAGGGCCGACCTGTCCCGGGCGTCGCCTCCACGCCAAGGGGACCCAGACCAGGGTGCCAGGCTCACCGCTCAGCAGCACCCGCAGCTGCTTGTCATAGAACTCGGCCTCCTTGTGGGACACCAGGGCGCAGCGCGCACACTGGCGCACGGGGTCCACGAAGCACATGCGCCGCAGCGCCACCTTCTGGCTGCAACACTTGTCACAGAAGCACTTTCCACAGCGGCGACAGTGGTGCTAGGAAGGGTGTGGAGGGCGGCGTGAGTCCCCAGCGGAGCCCAGCTCAGCCAAGTATTCCCAAAGGGCCTGTCCCACCCAGGGCCTCAGGCCAAGCTCCCACAGCGGCACTGACCAGCCCCCTCGGCCACCACGCGCCCCCACCTCCACGGCCTCAGCTCACCTTCCGGGTGAGAAAGTCAAACTTGGCATCACACTGCATGCATCTGGAGCACTAGGAGAGAAGGCGGCCGTGAGCACCCGCAGGGCCCCGAGCTCTCGCACGGCACACACTGCACCCCAGAGGCGAGGCTGCTGCGGACCCGGGCACAGAGCTGGAGCCGTCACGTGCTGCTGCCTGGACTGTGCCTGTCCTGCGCTGGGACCTGGGGTCGTGCCAGGACACGCCCGAGACAGCGTGGCAGGATGAGCCTGAACTGGGCAGCCCCACAGGCTGCTCCAGGGCAAATGCTGCAAGGCTGCCGGGAGCCCTGGGTGGCGGCGGACCTTGAGTCCTGCACCCCTGCAACGTGCAGGAGGCAGAAGCAGAGGTGGGGACAGCAAAGGAGCAGGACAAAAGTAGAGCCGCATATCACCCCCACAGGCTGGGGACGGCAAGGCCTGGGCACAGGGCCCCGGAGCCACAAGGCTGGCTACCCGCATGCTCAGTCAACGCCAGGAGGGAGGACAAAGTTCTGGAAAAAGCCACATTCTTAGCGAGATGCTCAGAGCTCTTATCTCCACTGAGCAGGTCAGCTGCCCCAGGGAAGAGGCCGGACCCCACGCTACACTGGCCAGGGACCCTGGGGAGGCCCCACAAAGTCTGCAGGCGCCTGTCTCCTCTGGTCCACAAAGGGAAGGGGAAGTCACCGAGCGAGACTGGCCACAGGAAGGGCTGGGGGCGAGGGGAGTGTCTGCACACGAGAGCACCCCACCCCCACAGAGCAGACACGGTCCCCTCTGGGTGTCCTCAGCGTCCTCAGGACACAGCAGATTGAAGGAAAGTTAGAATGAAAGAAACAGAAGGACCAGAGTGATGGTCGCGGGGTGGGAGCTCGCCTTGCCTGCCGCACCAGCTTCGAACTTGGGGGCATCCATATGGCCCCAAGGCCTGCCAGGGACGATCACTGAGCACAGAGCCAGTAGGAAGCCCTGAGCACGGCCAGATGTGCCCCAAAAGCCAAAATAAATAAATAAATAATAAAAGTAAAAATACTGAAATTTAGCCTGCCCCCTCAAGGGATAGCGGAGGGGAGTGACAACAGAGCCCATACCCCCGGGTGTGGAGACAAATGTCGCCTTTGGCACCAGTCTCTCAAGTCCACAATATTTTAGACTCCTCAAAAGTTGTCACTGTCCTCCCGTTGTTCATCAATTTGCTCGAGTGAGCCCAGTAACGTCTCCATTGTGAGACTTCTTGTTACTGTGTTTGGCATATTGAATATATCACGGGGAGCTTGCCAGGCTTTGCCATGCTAGATACTCTCAGTAGCTTGCCAGGCTCTCCTGGCAGAGGAATCGAACCCGGCTCGGCCGGGCTGGCTGCGTGCAAGGCAAACACCCTACCGCTGTGCTTCAAAAGTTATTAAAAAAAAAGAGAGAGAGAGAAATCCTGGTAAGACTGACTTCAGGGCCAGGGGCTCACACAGAGGCCTGGAGTCCCAGGCACTAGGAGGGTCCCCGGCAGCCCCCCGCCTTACAGTAACCAACTAGCCCGAGCACTGCCTGGGGAGCTTCTCCCGAACTGGTCACTGTCCCCGTGCGCGCTGGCTTGGCGCGACTGAGACCGTCGTCCGCGTTAGTGTTTGCAGGGGGCTCAGGCTGGGAGCGGGTGCTGGGGGTCCGCCACCGCCCAGGGGAGGGGCTGCCCGCCAGGCCCCGCCCCGCGGGACCCGCCCCACTCCGCAGCTGTGGGTCCCGGAGGGGAGCAGGTCCGGTCCCCGGCGGGTCCCCGCGCCCGGCCCGCACCTGCGTGCGCCTGCTCCCCCCCGCCCCACGGTCCCACTCCCCGGGGGCACGCGGACCCCAGCTCCGCGCCCCCGAGAAGCCCGGACGGCGCCGGCCCAGCCGCGCCCAGCCCAAGCGCCTGCCCCGAACCCCGGGCTCGGCGTCCGGCCACCGAGGGGGCCTTCGTGCCGCCCGTCCCCACCGTCCGGCGGCGCCCCCCGACCCCCCCCCCGGACGCGTCCACCGCGGCGCGGACGCAGGAGCGGAAGCTGCTGGGCGGAGCCGGCCGGTCGCTGACCCCGAGGCCCGCCCGTGGGCCCCGCTCGCTCCGCGGCCCCGGCGGCCGGGAGGGCCCCGCGAGCGCGCGCCCACCCGGCCGGCCCCGCGCCGCCGTCCCCGGGGCCCGCCCGGCGCCCGGGACCCAGGCGGCGCCCACCCACCTCCTTGTCCGGGACCCACTGCGGCTCCTCCAGGCCGAACGGGCTGCCGAAGGCGCGGTGCTCGGGCACCATGCGCAGGCCGCTGGGCGAGCGCACCAACTTCTTGGCGTCGCGGCGCGCGGCCACCTCGGAGGCCATGACGCCGCCCCAGGCCCGCCGGCCGCCGGCTCCGGCCCTCGCCCCGCCGGCGCCCCGCCCCCCGCGGCCGGACAGCGCCGACGGCGCCCGCGGCCAATCGCGGCGCTCCGCCAGGCGAGCCGTCCAATCGGCGCTCCGACCCCGCCCTCTCGCGCAGCCAATCGGCGGCGAGACGCGGCCGGCACCAATCGGCCGCGGGCGACTGCGGGGATGCTCCGCCCCTGAGGGCCACGGCGACTTTGGATTGGTCGATTTTCCCGAGCCCTGGGCACGAGTTCCTTCCTAATTGGCCTGTCCTGCGCAGGCCGCCGCTCATTGGCAGAGAGGCGGGGCGACCGGGCGGCGAGGCCGGCGGGAGCGCGCGGGAAAGGGACGGAGCCGCGGTGAGGGCCGGGGTGGAGGCCGGCCGGGCGTGGCGGCCCGCGGGCGCGCGGGGTGTGCGTGTGTCCGGAGAGGGCCGCTGTCCTGCGTGGGCTCGCCAGGTCCGGGGACCGCAGAGCCCGTGCGGCGCGCGGGGCCGGGCGGAGATGCTCCTGCTGCGGGCGCTGGGGCCTGCGGGTGTCGGGGGCTGCCCGGCTGCGAGCGCGGCTGTTCCTTGCGGAATTTGAAGGCGCTTCAGCACCCCCCCGTGGGGCCGAGTGCGGGGTGGCCCGCAGGGACTGTCCCGAGCGCCCGTCGCCTCCTCGGGGACCTGGACGGGTGATGACACACCACAGTGTGGGGTTGGGAGACAGACTCAGCCTTGTGTCAGCGGCGCCCTTAGAGGGTTCGGGGTCCCTGTGGACACCCAGAGGGACACGTGTTCAGGGTACATGTCGGTACCAGGAGAGGACAGGGGACCCAGGTATACGGACCCCTGGAGAGGACACGGGGTTGGGGGGACAGGGACACCAGGAGGGAACGGGGTATGCATCGACATGCAGGAGGGGACACACCGGAGGGGACGCGAGGTTGGGGTAAGTGTGGACACCGTGAGCGGCCACAGTGGGGAGAGCAGGGGCACCCGGGGCAGATTTGGGCTCCGACAAGGCGTGGCTGGGGGCTGCTGGGGACTGGGAGTGACAGTGTGGGGCAGGGCTGAGCAGAGGGGACCAGGAGGCCAGGCCCGGCACGACGGGGAGTGTCAGTGCCCGCAGCAGGCCAGACCCCACAGCTCCGAGTGGACAGGACAGACCGGCTGACCGCTTGCTGCTCCCCTGTCTCCGCACACAGATGGAGATCTGAGGGCGCACTTGGACCTGTTCGGCTCTGTCTCGGTTCTGCTGGATACCCTGAACACAGCACATTGGAGCGTTTCTGGAGCTGTGTCCCACGGTGGGCAGGGATCAGACTGAGCTCCCAGCAGTGCCCTTCAGGAGAGGTGCTCACCCGCCTGGGAGGACTGATCCCCCTTCTCTGACACTGCCCTCTGCTGCCCCTAGCACTTCCTGGTGTGATGGCCGCTGCTCAGGCAGCCACCACCAGGGGACAGGAGGGAGAGGCGCCTTGCACATATCCAGTCTGGCTCTCGTGGTAGCACATCACAAGGATCCTCAGTGTATCCCAGCTCCCACTGGCCCAGCAGTTCCTCCCGGGGAGCCTCAGCCACTGTGGAGGGCAGAGCACTGGACTTGGGTGCTGACGGCTGACCCCGGGGTTCCTGCCCCAGAGGGGCTGAGGTGTGGCGGTCACAGACGGACTGCTCTGCCCCACGGGTAGGAGGGTTACCCAACCAAGGGGCAGCTCCCAGCATCCTGCAAGTCCCACATTAGCCCAGAAACACCTCCTAGAAGTGCTGCTGGCCAGCAGGCAGGACCCCACCCTGCGGGTTCCCTGTAGGTTCTCGGGGTGGGGGAGGGCTGAGGGGTGTGCCCTGACCCCCCCATCCCGCGTCCACACAGGGCAGCCCCATGGAGACATGGATCTGGACCAGCTGGACCTGAACCCCAGGATCCTGGCAGCAGTGAGGAAAGGCAGGCTCGCGGGCAGCCCCTGTTGGGCTCCCTCATCCAGACTCGGGCTGAATTTCTCATTTCTCTCTCACTGCTGGATCGGCTGATACATCTCCAACCTTTCTCCTTTCTGCTTATTACGCTTACCAAGCCCCAAATCAGTTCATTCTCCCCCAAGATACCAGGTCCTTTAGGCACTAGGAACCCCGGTCAGCTCAGGGATCCAACCTGGGGCAAAGTGTGTACTCAGAGCCCTGCCCAGCCACCCCAGCTGCCTTGTGCTCGTGTCCTTTCAGCCAAGGTGGTGTCCGTGCGACAGCTGCTGCACTTCTCTGGCCCAGACCTGCAGAGAGTGACAGGCCTCTCGGGTGCTGACATCCGGCTCCTGCTGCAGACGGCCGCCTTGCACCTGCGGGGGACCAGCGTCTTCACAGGTGGGGCCCCAAGTCTTCGGGCCAGAGGAGGGAGCAGGCGGCAGGATGGGGGAGCACTGTGGGCCAAGAGGCTCAGCCGAGGGCCCAGACAGAGTCAGCCTGATGCCCCCCAGCACTGCACCTGTACCAGCAGAAGGACCAGTTCCCCGCCCAGCACCTGCGCCTCAGCCTCGGCTGCCCCGTGCTGGACCGACTCCTGGGCGGCGGCCTGCCCCTGCAGGGCATCACCGAGCTAGCTGGCCGCAGCTCGGCCGGGAAAACCCAGCTGGCTCTGCAGCTCTGCCTGTCTGTGCAGTTCCCACTGCGGTACGGAGGCCTGGAGGCCGGTGAGTGGCCACTGCTGGGGGCCGGGGTGGGGGAGGTCTGGAGGGATCGGCCCCTTGCAGCCTTGCTTCTGTTGGGACACTGCCAAGTCCACCGGCCCTGGCCGGCCTGCAGCATGACCCGCCCACCCCCAGGCGCCGTGTACGTGTGCACGGAGGACGCCTTCCCCAGCCGCCGGCTGCAGCAGCTCATCAGCCAGCAGCAGCAGCTGCGCACAGACGTGCCTGCACACGTGGTCGGGAAGATCAAGTTTGGGGACTACATCTTCATCGAGCACGCAGCTGACGTGGTGAGTGCTGCGTTTGTCCAGCCCGATGCTAGAGGACAGGGCTATGGGGGAGACTGGGCACACAGACCCCGGTGCCCGCCAGCAGTATGTCCACTGCAGAAGGTTCTAGAAGTGGCCCTACCACCTGATCAGCAGCTGGTTGAATGGCTGTCCCACTGAGTGTCTGTGAAGCCACCCGCTGCTGGATCCTGGGAGGATGGGGGCTCCTGGAAGGATAGTGACCCCCGAGGTGAGGAAGAAGGATGAGGCGCCAAGGGTCCAAAAGACACCGACACAGCAGGAAAGAGCAAAGTCTCCCACGGGGTGTGGCTTCTGGGAGCATGCCCACGCTGCACGTGGCGTGGCTGGCAAAGTCCCCTTGACTCATGGACCATTCTAGAAAGAACTCAAGCACAAAACCAGGCCTATAAACTGAACATTTTTAATTTACATTAAGATACACTGTCGGGTGGTGCAGCAGGCCAGGGACTGATGGCCCCGAGGCTGTGCCCACCCCGCCGGCTGTCAGCGGGTATGGCTGCCCAGGCTGGGGCAGGAGGGGGCCCAGGCTCCGGCCCTCCAGCCTCGGCGGTCCCGGGCTCTCACAGGGCTCCCAGGCGCTGTGTGCAGACTCACTGCAAAGAAGTGGACGGGGACGTCAGGCCAGACCCCAAGACACGCTGCTGAGTGACTGGGCAGGACCGGGCTGCACCCAGGCCCCCCACCCTGCCAGGCTTACGTTGAGGGCAGCATCCTCCGCGCCTCCACTGCTACTGTCATTTTCCACGCTGAGGGGCTCTGCGGGAACCCTGGGGGAGCACAGGGAGGGTCAGGGCCAAGGGCACGCGCACCCCCAGGAGGGGGTTTCCTGTGGGGGCCCAAGGGACACGGGTGACGGTCCCCCCCTCCAGGACAGCCTGCTGCAGTGTGTGACGAAGAAGGTGCCGGTGCTACTGGCTCGGGGGCTGGTGCGCCTGCTGGTCATCGACTCAGTGGCCGCCCCGTTCCGCTGTGAGTTCCCCGGCCCCGACGCTGCACCCAGGGCCCGGCTCCTGCGTGCACTGGGAGCTGCGCTGCGGCGGCTGAGCTGCACCTTCCAGAGCCCAGTGCTGTGCATCAACCAGGCGAGCCCCCCGTGCGGGGCAGGGCGGGGCGGGGGCCCACGGGCACGGGCCCCACGCTCACTCTCTGGGCCCTGCAGGTGACGGAGGTTGTGGACGAGCAGGACGTGGCCAGGACAGCAGGGTAAGCGCAGTCGCCTCCCGAGTGGGCAGGAGGGCAGGCGGGCCCAGGGAGTCACGGAGGCCTGTCCCCTTCCAGCCCTGGGGACACACGGGTCATGCCAGCACTTGGGGGCACCTGGGCCGACCAGCTCCTCGTGAGGCTGATGGCGGATCGGCACCGCCCGGACGAGGGCCCACGCACAGCGCCAGGCCGGACCCTGAGGGTGCTCTTTGCACCTCATTTGCCCCCCGGGGCCTGCGGCTACGACATCCTCACAGAAGGTGTGCGCGGGACGGCTGGCTCCCCGGGGCCGGCAGCACCCTCTCTCGGCTCTGCTTCCACACGGCCCTGACGTGTCCCCGCCTGAGCCACCCCCACAGGGATGTTGAAGCCTCCTGACACGGGCACTGCACAGGCTTTGGTGGCAGAGGTGACCCCTGCATGCCCCAGGAGGACGCTGCTGGACCAGCCCGCCACTGGGTGCATGCACGCTTCACCCCAGCATCTGATCTGCACCCTGCCTGCGCCCCCTCTGCACTGCCCCTGCCCCCTGCGGGTGCCACCAGCGGCTGCTCCCTGGGTGGACTGTCCAGCCTGGGAAGTGGCCTCCGGTTCCCCTCCCACCTGCCCCCGGGAACCTCTCTCTGGCCTGGAGCCCGCATCTAGCCTGTACGTGACCCATGGGGACAGACATTCTCGCCACACCTGGAGGCTGGTGCTGCTCCAGCCGCGGCACAGAAGTTAGGCAGACACACCCCTGGGGGGCCCTCAGGCCTGGAGCTGGGGGAGGTCCCCCCACCTAGGCTGCTTCAAGGGCAGGTTTGTAGTGTGGCCCTAACGGCCTGCGGGCGGCGCTGCATCCTGAGGACTGACTCAGGGAACCCTGGTCCAGGAAGACTCGGGAGACGCCTTCTGCAGAGCGCACGGAACTGACAACAGGCAATAAAATGCTTTATTCCGGTCATTGAATGGAACCAAGTCACTGTCCAGCGTCACACCAGAGCGAGGGCGCAAAACCGAGACTGCCAGCCCTGCTCTCAGCCACTCACCCTGCGGTCCCCAGACCCTCAGACACCACATGCACCAAGCACCCCACACCGGTCCTCAAACCCACGATGCTGCTGCAGCCCAGTAAGAAACACATCAGCTCCTGGCACTGGGGGGCACAAAAGCCCCACCTGCAGGGCTGGCCTTGCCCATGTGACCCAAGTATCCCCGGTTCAGGATTGGGAATCTGACCAGCACGTGATGCTTATGCAAAGGATCAGCCTCACATATGTGCCTTCCAGAACATTCCACGGCTGTCAGTGGCAGGTCTGGTGTGGAAGAAAGCCACACTCCTTAGCAAAGCCCCTGGCTCGGACCTAATGGCCCTGGATTCTCACGGCCCACGCTGCTGGGGACACAACATGTGACCTGAGCGCCATGCCACAGCCCCCTCCCAACGCTCCCCACTGCTGGAGGGGGCCGATCCCCGAGCCTCAGACCAGAAGGGGCTGCATGCCCGACCCCTCACCGAGGTGACTGGCTCTTTTCCACTTTGCTGCCTGAGGCCACGTCTTGGCCACCTACTCCTGAGCAGGTGTGACCCCCGAGAAATGGTCACAAGGAACATAGGGTTTGGGGCATGCAGGACGCCTGAGGCTGGGCAAGGATGTGCCAAGGAAGCGGGCGGCACAGCCCAGCAGCAGTGGGTGCTCACGTCCCTGCCCTGGCACCACAAACCCCGATGGGCCAGCAGGGGGCACCCAAGCACCAGGCTCACTGGGTCACCAAGACCAAGTCCAAATCAGGGCTGCCTGACCCCAGACCCACCAGCCAGAGGGACTCCCCAGCGTCCACCCCAGCCCCGCCTAGTGCAGTTCCAGGACAAGGACAGCCCCAAAGCCCCTGAAAGCACCCATGGCCTGGACTCCCGGGCCAGTGCTCGGGCAGGTACCAGCACATCATTTTCCATCCCTTCCCTGTAGCTGCTTAAGTACATAAAGAAAAGCCTTTAAAAGTATCACACCCGCCCCAGAGCTCGGTGATGGCACTGCCAGGAGAGCGACAAGTGGGACAGCGTCAGTGACAGTGCAGGGGCTCCCTGCACTGGGTGGGGGCAATGAGGGGCCGCAGGCAGGCAGGAAGCACAGTCTGCTGCCGAGCCGTCTCTGACCCGGCCACACCCAGCGGGGCTGTGCTGGAGACTCGGGGTGCAGCTGAGCAGAATTGGGGGGCCCTCCTGAAGGGTAGGAGGTCACCTGAGACATGGAGCCCCGCCTGCCCCCTGCCAAGGGGGCACCTGGTGCCGTTATCTTGGGCCCCGTCTAGCTCTGGCCGCAGTGGGCCAGGTCAGTATGGCTGGCGCTCAGAGCTCGCGAGTCTGCGAGACAATGACCTCGATCCTGTGTGAGAAAACAAACGGGAGGTTACACCCCGCCCACCTGCAGGCCAGCCCCGCCCACTAGGGACCCGGGGAGGGGACAGCTGCAGGCTCGGTGAGGACACGCGTGTCCGGAGCTCACACGCGTCCAGACGCTCAAGTGAAAGCAAGTGCCCACCACAAGCCGCAAACGCCCGAGTGCCCGCAGCACCAGCCAGCCGGGCCCCAGGTGCGGCACACACCTGCGGGACTCGGTAACCGGAGCACAGGACCGCCAGAGGACAGAGCACCACCGCCAAGGCCGGCTGCCATGGCACAAACGCGGGCCCTGTGGGCACCAGCACGCCAGGAACTGCCAACATGCACAAAGTCCATGCCCAGAAGCCCAGGCCAGGTCGGCTCGGGGCCTGCTATGCCCAACAGTCACGCTCAACACTGGACAGAAGCGAAGTCTAGAGCCAGGAGCCCGGCCAGCAGCCATCCCGAGTGCCAGTGTGAAGCATCACCGTGGCATGTTGGCGTGGGCGTGAGACTGGACGTGTGGGATCCAAACCACATGCCGAGAGCCCAAGACCAAATGACAGTGTGTCAGCAGGTTAGTGAAGCCGGGAGTGGGACCAAGCAGCGGCCAGAGGCGTGGACGCATCTCGGGACCAGCGTGTAGGGCCGGTCCCGCACGCGGCTCGGGGAGCAGAGCGGGGCGCGCGGCAACGCTGGGCAGGGCGGGGCGCAGCAGGTGGGCCCGGCCGCCTGCGGGGACCCGAGGAGGGCGGGCTCCTTACTTGCAGGCGGTCTTCAGCTGCCTGGCCAGCCACGTTAAGGACATTCAGAGACCTGGCACGCTTCATGCTGTGACCGGGCAGTGGACATGCAAGGACAAACAGCACACGGGTCAGCGGCAGCAGAGGACACAGCGCCCCCGAGACAACATGCAGCCCCCAGGCACGGCCTCTCCCCACCTGAGGGACCAGCGGGTCCGCACGCGCGGCCCAGCCCCGACCGCAACTCGCAACTCGCACCTCACTGAGTAATGTGTCACTCAGCAAAAGGCCAATGACATGTCAACTCGGCGTCTCACTTGAACGTTTTAAAAGCTCCGCATGACCGGGGAAAGAGCCCCCCGGAGCCTGTGCGGGCCCAAGCCCGTCCCAGCACGTCAAGGTCGCCTAAGCAGTGCCAGGTGCGGGCCCGATCCCGCGAGCACCGCCTGTAGCCCCCCAAAAGCTACTGAGCCTCTGGGAACATGAGGCCATTGGGGCCAGAGGTGTGGGGTGGTGAGGGTGAGGGGCACCACACCCCCCGTGCACACAGGCCGCATTCCAAGGATCGTTCCAGATACTCAGTGGGAGAAATCTGAGCGCTTTCCGGGGAGCTGTGGAGCCAGTGGGAGGCAGGGACGGGGGGCATGAGTTGGGCCACACCTGAGAGTGCTCAGGGGTCACTTCTGGCTCTGCGCTCAGGGGACCATTTGTGGTGCTGAGACTGACCCCGGGTCAGGCGTGTGCCAGGCAAGCGCCTTAACCCTATGCCGCCTCTCAGGCTCTGAGGCTGGTATTGAAACGCTTAGAAACCAAAACACAAAACCAACGTGACAGTGTGTGCACGCAGCCGCGCCCGCTGCCCCCGCTCCCCGCAACCCTGTGGTACAGGCTGAAACGACAGGCACTTGGGGCAGATTCTGGAGGGTTCTCCAGAGCTCGCAGCACACACACAGCTCAGTCGGGGACAGAGCCTGCAAACCGCCACCGGGGCGCCCCCACACAGCTGCACACCAGGCCACAGGCTGGACCCAGGTGCCCCCAGGCCCTCAGAGCTCACGGCCCACGGCTCATGTCTGGCCACTGTCCAACTGGCCGCCGGCCTTCTCCCCCATCCCTTTCAAGAAGAGCCACCAGCCACTTCTCAGGAATCAGCCCCTACTGCAGCCCAAAGAGAGTCTGCTGGGTTCCCCAAATTCAGGGTGCCCCCACGATATGGGTTCCGCCACGCCACCCAGACACGCTGGTCCATGCAGCCGAGCTCCCTGGCCTGTTACAGCCTCCCCGCCCCTCGCTCTACCCACAAGCAGACGCCAGACATCCCCAAGTACCGCAGACACGGGGCAGCTGCTGGGCTCTGCTAGAACCACCTCACTGACAAGGCTAGAACCTTCCAGAACCTCTAGGGCAGCCCAGGGGTACCACCGAGGCACAGGAACGGGCGAGACATCTGCCCAGACGCCCAGGGCCACCGCCAGAGGAAATGTTGCTCCTCCAGACAGTCCGTTTCAGTTCTGGGAACACCCTTCCCACTGTCCCTCCTGGGCGCCCGTGCCCCCAACTCGGGTTTCCTCCGCAGGGCAGCAGACACCTGCAGGGCACTCCCCTACCCCAGGCAGGCCCCTTGTGGGGCACCCCACTCAAGGATGCCTGGGGTCCTCTTGCCTCAGGAGACACCAAGCATGTGTCCTGGGCTACCTCGCCTGTCCCGAGTGAGCTGAGCTCCACACGGGGCCTGCCAGGCCGAGGCCAGTGAGGAGGCGCAAGTTCCAGAAGATCTGGCAACACTGCAGTGACTGGACCACAAGAAGGTGCGGTCAGCCCTGTGCAAGCAGGGGCCAGGGGAGGTGGCTCCAGCTCAGAGCACTGCTGCCCCGCGGATGCCGAGTCCAGTCCTGGCACCACAGGGTCCCCAGAGCACTTGGTGGCCGAGCAATGGAGGGCCAGTTGGCCAACGATCGCCAGAAGTGGCCCCTGGACACCTGAGCACTACTTGGGAGCAATCCTGCCACAATAAATAGAAAGATGCCAAGCCCCAAGACAAAGCTTCTCTCCCACACGGGAACTGTGAGGTTCCGAAGCCACGGCCACATCTCTTCCTTCCATCTAAGGCCACGTCCCCACGGGAACCACAGGCGCATGTGGTGCTAAAGCAGCTGGCACGGCCCATCTCCCACAGCCACTCGCCTCTGCCCTCTCCACCCCCTGGGGAAGGGCCCGCCCGGCACGGGGCAAGGCAGGGACTCGGGGCCGGGCCTGTGGCAGGCGCTCGGGATAATTACCCAGGGTTCTTGGGGTCACTCTCCCGTGCACCGCCTCCCTTCAGCTTCCTAACCAGCTTCTCGCTGCTGCGTCTAATGGAGGCGCGGAGCTTGCTAAAGGAACCACTGCGCTTTAAAGATCCAGTGCCGTCCTGCAAGAGACGGGGACAAACGTGAAGCTGCCCGCGCGGGCGCCGGCACCGCCCCAACTCGGGGCCAGAGAGAAAGGACACGGCACCAAAACTCTGCGTCTCAACTGTGGGGACAAGAACCCGGTGATCGTGGCACAAGAGCATGAAGCCACCCATTCAAACCAGAGCAGCGACATTCCCCCCAGGAAACAATGGCGCTGGTGTCTGCAAACAAAAGACGTCACCCACAGAAGCCTCAGAAACCAAGGCCGAGTCAGGAAACGCTGAGCCCAGGCGGATTCCACGCAGCCCGCGCCCCCCGCCCTCCCAGCCGCGCGGGCCCCGCCCTTCTCAGCAGCTTCTTTGAATGCTGGCTATCACGGGCTGGAAAATTCAATCCAGTGCCCATGGGTCAAGAACCAGCAGCCCCGAGACCTTTCCCCACACTCGGCTCAGCCCCAGGAAGTGGACAGCTGTCCAAGTGGACCTGCAGGGCAGCAGCTCGAGGCGAGGGGAGGGATGCGCAGGCAGCCCCCGGGGGACCACCAGCTGCCAGGTCCCTCCTAGAAGCCGCGACCCCCAGCAAGGAAAGGTTCTAGTAGGCAGACAGACCAGCACACAGGTGAGTTGGAGTGAGTTTATTAGAAGTTAGAAAGACACAAATGCACACGTCACCGAACACTGAGAGGTTAGTAGAGAAAAGCAGAACCGCCGAGTTTCACACACAGAGCACAGAGCAGAGGCTACTGGGGCGGAGCCCCGGGGAGAGGGAGGCCGGGCGGCCAGTGTCCACGGTCAGTCACTGTCATGCCACTGCGCACAGCTGCGGGGACATCTAACTATCTCGTGTCGGAGTGAACAGCTAATCGCTCTTAGGCTAAACTCGTGTCTACACAGGACGCGGTTGGAGTGATACAGCTCGGGTCACTAAGTACATATCTGGCAAAGCTACATGGGGACAGAGAGCCCCCCCGAAGGACAGCAGCACCGAGAGGAATGGCCAGTCCCGAGGTGGAGCTCGGACGGGAGCCCTAGGGGGTGGCTAGCGCAGCGGGCAGCACTGGCGAGGTTAGCTGGAGGAGGAGCCGCCTCATGCAGGACAGCGGACAGTCGGGAGCTAGGCCTGTGACAGAACGAGAGAGAGAGCGTGAAAGCGCCGCCGCGGCCACCGTCCCCACGAGCCCGGCGCGGCCCTCAGGATTTCTAGGTCACCAGGCCCTGGGGCGTGCGGAGGCATCAGCCGCTTCTGCCAGCCCGGCCAGCCCCAGGCCTGGCCTGCGGGTCTCCTCCATCTAGACGGGCCCCTGCTCCATGTCACCCTGTCGAGACCAGGGGTCCGGCGCCTGGCTCGGCCCAACCCGGAAACCTCCTGGGCCCTCGCCAGGGCAGGGAGCATGTGAAGACCCCAAGGGTCTGCGGCGCCCCACCAGACCGAGGAACCCTTCCAAGCGCCTGTGCTCAGAAACAGGAGCACTTTCTTAGGAGCACGACCGGAGACACCTCAGACGCTTTCAAAGACCACAGCACATCCCAGACATGCAGTGGGTGATCCGAACGCAAGGGGTGAGAAACAACGGCTTTCCAAGGTGGCGCTGTGGCCTGGGCCTGCCGCCTGGACAGGACACACGGGCCAGCCTGGCCGCCACTCTGACTCACCGAGGGATGGAGAGCAAGTCACTTAACCAGCCCGAGCTTCATTTTTCTCATCTTTAAATGGAAAAATAAAACTGGTTACCAACTCCCCAGGGCTGTGGGCAGGACAAAACGTTCTCGCTGCTCAGAAGTGCCATGAGTTCTCCGGGGCGGGGAGAGGCCAGCCTGTGGCTCCTGGCATGGGTGCCGGCGGGGACACAGGGAGTCCCCCCCCACCCCGCAGGCACTTCTGCCCACTCCTGCTCCCACTCGGCACAGGTCAGAGGGTCTGGGAGCCTCAGTGCACCTGACTCTTCCCAAACCAGATGACGGGGTCGCCGCCATGCAAACGTCAACACGAGAACCGAGATGGTTCATGGGCAGCACAGGCTGGCATGGAAAGGCACCTCCGTGCCTCGAGCACTGCAGGAGGAGCCCCTGAGCGCCGCCAGAGGGTTCTGCACACACCACGCAGCTCAGGGATCGGGCACCCTCACACCATCCTGACAGGCGTCTCCTTGTCACGATCGCGAGACAAATTCCTATAGCACACCCCCCCTGCTGTACTGGGCAGAGGGCAAAGCACCACTGGGAATGGACCCCAACGCTGAGTTAGAAAAGGCTCTGAGCCCCACTCAGAGAGGGAGAGGTCAGGGAACAGCAGGGAAAGTGGGGGGGGTGCTTCTGAGGGGGCAGAAAGCAAAGGAAGCTGGAGGGAGACTCAGGATGTGGGGGCAACGCCACAGGAGAGTTTCCTCAGCAAAAAACCCGGAGGCCCCTAAAGGGCTCGGGGTCAGTGACCACCCAGGGGAGGGAGCACAGTGGCTTTTGGAGCTTTGTGGCCGGACGGCAGCGTGTTTCTCATTTCCCAAGAGTCCCTGGCACAGGCCAGGAAAGGGGACCTGCACGCACCCACACGGTGCAGAAGGGGGTCCCAGCTGGAGCCATAGGATGCGGGGGGAGGGAGGGCACTTGTCTTACACACGCCCACCTAGCCTTGATCCCTGGCATTCTATACGGTCCCCCCCACCCCCCGAACCCACCAAGAGCGATCCCTGAGCGTAGAGCCAGGATTAAGTCCTGAGTACTACTGGTATGGCCCAAACACAAAATAAGGAAAGAATCACCTCCGGGAGTGAAGCCACATCCTGGGGGAGGGTGGGTCACCTCCTAGGGGTGGGACTCATCCTGAGGGTGGGGTCACCTCCTGGGGGTGGGGCTCATCCTGAGGGCAGGGTCACCCCCAGCCCTGAGCCTTCCAATGGCTCCCCCATCCTATCAGCAGGCCACCCTGTCCATAGGCAGCAGCAGCCCCTTGCTGACCACACTTCCCCCAGGTCTGGGTTTGAAGTACTGAACACTAAGGACCACAGTGCCCAGCAGTAAACCCCAGGCCTGCCCTCTCCCCATCTGCACCACTCAGGGCACCAGGCTCCACCCACACTCACAACTCTACAGCCCCTTCCCAGAGCTGAGCTGTCCAGGGCAGTGAGCACTGACCACAGTGGGCTGCAAGGCCCAACCTCACCGTGCACACGCAGCCTCTCAAGGCATGAGCAAACCATCCTGAGTGAGAAGCAGCGACCCCTGGAAACCACAGCCTGCAGTGTGGGCCCCCAACTCCTGGGGTATGCCCACATCCATTAGGGGTCCCAGTCTGCCCGCACACATCCAGGGCCCCGGGTCTGCCCGCAAGTATCTAGGGTCCCAGGCCCGCCCGCAGGCATCTAGAGTCCCGGGTCCACCCGCAGGTATCTGGGGTCCCAGGTCCGCCCACAGGTATCTGGGATCCCGAGTCCACCCGCACACATCTGGGGGTCCGGGTTCCGTCTACAGAACTGGAGGCCTGGGGTCTACTGACAAGCCTTTGGCTGCTTTGGGAAGGGCGCACCAGTGGGGCTGTGACACCTAAGGCCTCCACAGCTCTCACAGCCAGGACTGAAGACACAAGGCAAAGACCAGGTGGGCCTGTGGGTGCGGCCGCCCAGGGAGTCCAGGCCTCCTCACGTGCTCCCGAGCGCTGTCCTGGCATCCGTCCTCACAGCTCCGTTCCCAGGAGGACCCATATCCGGGGACTGTAGGAGCGCCTCTCCCAGGGGCTGACACACCCTCCTCCGGCAGTGACCCCTGCTTCCAGGGCCTGGTCTCAAGGCGGGGGAGGGGGGAGGGGCAGGGCTAGACACTGTCTCACAAGAAAAGCCCCGGAGAAGTGCCGCAGTCCCTCTGAGGTGGCCCTGGACACAGGCAGGACAGCACAGCACAGCTCAGGGGCCACTGGGACTCTGCCCGGGACAGTATGTGGGCCAAGTAACACGGCAGACTCTGCCATTCTGGAGCTGCCGTGTGCCACGGCACGATTCACACAGACAGGAAAGCTCCAAACGACTATTCGGCAAAGAACTGCTCAAGGAAACTACTCGAAGAGAACCCTGCAACGTTAAAGTCTGAGCACCTGGCCACGAGGCACCGACCTGACGGCAGCCAACGCCAGCCACCAGCTGAGAGGTGGCGTGTGTGCAACACTCCTGACTGGCAGCAGTGCGGAGCACGTCCAGATGGGGCAGACAAGGGCCTGGCACTTCTCAGGACCTGGTGGCGACTGGGAAGGGCTCCCGGACAGGGCAGCATGACAGCAGCCCCAGACTCCCCTGCTTTGGTCTGTGCGTGTCTACAGAAATTCGATGGTCTCCCCATGTGGTGTCTGAGCTAATGTGAACAGAGGTCCAGCGGCCTGGTCAGCAGGGTTAGGAGCGGTGCGGTTAGCAAGGAGAGGGTGAGTGACAGCGCGTTAGTGTCTCTGGAGCCCTAAAGTTACAGCATGGACCCTGCTGGGAAGAACCAGTGTCCAGCGGCTGAGAGGGGTCAGACAGTGTCCATGGCTCCCAGAGAGAAGGAAACCAGCCCCTCACACCAAGAGCAGGTTTGGTGTTAGCAAAAGAAAGAACCAGAAAGCGCTTCACTCATACTTCATCTGAGAACAGCGCGGCGCGCGCTGGAGCCCCGCACCGTGGACTGTACTTACCCCGTTCCACTCTACGCTCATACTCACTTCCTCCCCTCCGTCAGGGCCACTCTCGTACTTGACCACGTCCAAGCTCTCGCGGCTGCGCCCCTTTTCCGCATGCTCCCCGTCACTCAGCACCTCAGCCACCTTCTGTTTGTGGGCGGTGTCGAGGCCCTGCGGGCAGGCGGGGGAAGTACAGGCCGTGGGCTTCACTCTGCCCCAGCCCAGCTCACAGGCATCACCTCTGCCAGGCTCACTGGAGGGCAGGCCCGGGAAGGACCCGAATGGGCCGCCTCCGTGGCCTCGAGTCACTGTCGTGACTGAGCTCATGAACGATCACAGGCTGGGGAGTCTAGGAAGCAGCGAACGGGTAACCACTAGCTCAAGATGCTTCCAAACAGAACAACTGGCAAGAGCCACCAACATACCACACGAGGAGCCTGGGAGAAGCCGGGTGTCAAACACACGGAGGCCACGTTTCCCAAGGTTTGTGTCTAAAATTTCCTACAAGGCTGGGGACTGCCCCTTCCTAACGGCACCAGGAGGCCGTTAATTAGCAATGAGCTGTGGCTCTGTTCTACTGCTCAGCGGGTAACAAGGGCCTGGTTCTCCTTCCAGACATGGTTTCTGAACAACAGATTGAAACTGCATGTGGGGAATCACAGAGGCACTTTCTCACGGGACAGCGGGAACCCCCTCAGAAGGCGAGCCCACCAATAGCCACCTGCCACCCACCCCACACCTCCGACTCACCCCACGACATCTCTCCCTCCCAGACACATGCCATTGCCCTCCCAAGTGAGCACACGGTGGGAAATGTGCCTCTGCAGGATTGCTGGGTTCGAAGTGTTTCCAAGAATTAGGGTGCAGTTTCCCCTGGACTGACCCAGGCACAGCTGAGTCCAACATCAGCCCATGCGCCTCTCAGGATCCCGGAGGCCAGACCAGACAGGCCCAGCACTTGTCCTGGCCGACAGCAGCCCCAGAGTGGCACCCCCAAACAGATGCCAACCCGAGTTGCAAAGGGCTGCCCACCACAGCACTCCAGGGCCAGGAAGCACAGCCTCTGCCTGCCCTGTCCACACGCCCATAGCCCTCTCCACAGCACCATCCCGGTGAGCCGCCTGCGTGCTGAGACACCCGGCCCCTGCAGGAGGAGGCCCGCATCTCCTTGTGCAGAAGGAAACTCTCAGCCCGGACCAGCCTCACACCTCCTGACTCCTCACAGCCCATACATGACCCCTGCGGCCCTGGAACCAGCCCCGCAGGCAGAACTGAGCCCATGGCCTGGCCCCTCTGCTCAGTCATCATTCCGCCGGGCTGGCCTGCCCGAGAGCTTGGCCATCTCACACTGCTGTGCTCAGGCCCTCCTCACTGTCCACATGAGCTGGACTGATACGTCTTCCTGCCACACTCAAGACACATGACCGACTATCCTGTCACCCTTGGGCATGATAAACCTCCCTCTCACACTCGAGCATCAGAAACCTTTCTGTCAGACTAGGACACCTGACAGATCATCCTGTCAACACATGGGCATGACAAACCTTCCTGCCATACTCAGACACAAAGTAACCTGTCACATTCGGGCATGACAAACCTGTGACAGACACCTAACAGACCTTCCTGTCACACTCGGGCATGACAAACCTTCCTGTCACACTCGGACACCTGACAGACCTTCCTGTCACCTTATAGCATCTGTCAGACCTTCCTGTCACACTCAGGCAACCTGCTGGACCTTCCTGCCACATTCAAACACCTACTGAAGCTTTCTGTCCCGCTGAGGCATGACAGTCCTCCTGTCCCACTCGGGTCTGGCAGTGATGAGCAGACACCTGACCAACCTGTTTCCGTGACCGCATGGCCGCTTCCTCCAAGGTCTCAGCAGCTTCAAATTTGCCTTGACGTCTGTAGAGAGCCCCGAGGTTTTTTAAAGTCGTTGTAACAGTCGGGCTGCAAGAAAGCACATGACCCATGGAGCTGTGAGCATGAATGTCAGGCAGCTCTACGGCAAGCCTGTGAGCCCGTCACCCGAAGCCGAGTCACCCCCGCCCCACACCCACGCAAGCACTGGCTAGTGGACCATGCATTGAGGATGACCGAAAGGACCAGCAGACTTAGGTCTGTGGACAGAGCTCAGGTGACAGAACCACCAAGCCTCGATGAGGCCAAGTTCAATCCCAGCACTGCCTGGTCCCTGAGCAGCACTGAGAAGCGGACAGCAGCATCTCTCTCTCTACCAGGCCGGGCCTAAAGGCAGACACTCCACCGCGTCTGTGCGAGAACATGTTTGCAAGCATGCACGCTCTTAAACATCAGCCACGGGAACTCGGGAACACACGTTCTGAACCAGAGATTCCCATTAGCCCAGAAAGAGAAGAATGGCAAACTGAGTCTCAAGGGCACGGGGAAGAGCTAAGAAGGGGCTCGCTCCCATGAGAAGACCCAGGGTCCCGCGGGAGGGGCCGGAGCGCCGGGGCTGTGAGGAGAGCTGCACTGGCCGAGTACGGCTTCCTCCATCTAAGTACCCGCTTCCGCCACCGCTCTCAGACCACCAGGCTGAGAAGCAGCAGCCCGACGGCATGGCGAGTCCAGGGCCCGGAGGAACCTTGCCCACATAGCATGGGCCTGAGGGACTCAGAGCAGCGCGGGTCGGCACACGCCCTGCTCCCTGCCCGAGTCTGTGTCCTACCTGTCCACCTTACAGGCTTTGTACCAGCCGCCATATTCTCCGAACGATGCCCCGTCCTTCTGCTTTCCCTGGAACAGACAATCCTAGTGAGAGGCAGCTCCGGAGACAACAGGCGTCCCTCCTGGAAGGTTCCGCAGGCCCGGCCCTACCTTGCACTCTTCCCTCTCCTCGGCGTGCATCCAGATGGGCTTGTTCTCGTCTGGGGGAGAAGGGACAGTGAGCGAGGGCAGTGGCTCTCACAGTCACCGGAGCGCTCGGATTCATTCCTGTCTGCAAGCCCACCCCTGGCCTTGCAGTCAGCAGGCCTCAGAGACAGGACATGGCAGCCCGAAGGGGCAGCCCCTGCGCAAGTGGAGAGCTGCCGCCTAGGAGAGACGGGTAGGCAGCTTTGGGGGGCTCTGACCAACGCCGGGGTCCCCATGATGAAACTTCCTGTTCTGGAATCCCCCAGGAACACTTGGGAGAATTTCGCATTTGAGAAACGTTAACAATAAACCATCAGAGGAATAGTAGGGAACTGTGGGGAGCAGGCCTGGAGAAGACACGAACCATCTCTCCGTAACGTCCTAATCGCTGTTTGCTGGAGCTGGCACCGGGACTAGAACCTGGCCCCTCCACATACAAACTCTGAGCCCGGCCATTGGCCCTCACTTCTGAGGGTAGGACATGGCCTTCTCCCACCGCCAGGTCCAAGGTGCTTCTGGGTTTGGGCACCAGTCAAGACGTACTCTGGGCTACTCCTGACTCAGAGCTCAGGGGACCAGGGAAGGCAGGCCTGAATAGGGGTGTCCCACATGCTATGCTGATCTGTCTGGGCACTCTGTGAATCTGAGCTGGGGGTGTCCTCAGGAAACCCTCCACCGTGGCTGTGCTCGGTGGGAGGAGGCAGCCTGGCACGTGTGGAGCTGGACTCCAGCTCCAGAACCAAAGAGACAGACCTGCCTCTCTGGCCCGCAACTGAGCACTGGTAAAAATTGAAGTGGATATAGAGAAGCGGCTCCCGTGGGCCCAGCAGAGTCCTGCTCCCGCCTGGGCTCTGCCAGCAGTTGGTGCTTCCCGAGCCGTCTTCACTGAGGGGAGAACCTGGAACAGGGCAAGGGGACCTGGCACCTCGTCATGCCCCACCCCACCTCTGCAGGGAATGTGCCTGGGCCAAGGGCTTCTGTTCCACTCCTAACAGAGATAAATAGACGCTGGGTTGCAAGAAACGCCCGAAGAAAAGAGCTGACTGAGCAGATCTCTGCGTGCATAGGTGGGCGGCAGAGGTGGGGGCACCAGGTGAGGACAGGTCCTGTGCGTGCCGGGAGCTGTGCCGGCACATCCTCCCCTCCAGAAACCCCACAGACCACACTGCTGGCCCTGCGATGACGGGCGTGCCAGGCTGACGCTAGGAAGGGCGCGTCTAGCTCACCGTCCACAGAGCCGAACTCCCTCTCGTGCGCGCGGGTGAGGATCTCCTTGTACAGGGTCTCTGCCTGCTTGAACTTCCCTTGCTTCAGGTAGCAGGACGCCTGCAAACAAGCCCGGAGCTCAGGTCTGCAGCGCCCATGGGAGGGCACAACAGATGTGAAGGGCACAGGTGGGCACAGAGGGCAGGGAGGGTCACAGCAGGTGGGCACCGTGGGCAGGCACAGTGGAAGGGACACAGCAGGCAGACACACGTGGCAGATTGGCAGAGCACGAGGAGGTGGCCTTGCTGCATGCAGCTGCCCAGAACATACCAGGTTGTTCTTTGTCTTGGCCACATTAGGGTCGTCGGGGCCCAGGCGCGTCTGGTAGATGTCCAGGGCCCTCTGGTAGTAGTACTCCACCTCCTCATACTTGCCCTGGTTCTGGCACAGCAGCGCCAGGTTATTCAGCTGCTTGGCCACGTCAGGGTGATCCTTCCCCAGAACCTGGCCAGAAAGCAGCCAAGTCAGCAGCCACCGGGACCCCGCACAAGGAACCCCACCCCCAGCTTAGACCCTACTCGGACTGGAGTGACACCACTGCTCTCCCTGCTTGGGCCCCCCACGCTGGGCCGTGGACAGTATTCTCAGCTCGCCGAGCAGCTCAAACTGTGCTCCGTCTCAGAAAAGCAGAGAGCCACAGACACCACCGGGCTCAAGTGTTCCCCAGGGTCCTCGTGGCTCGGATCCGACGCCCAGGGACACGCCACAGAGCAGAGCCCGTGTCCACCCCCAACTTGGCAGGGCAGCTGAGGACTCTGCACACATCTACAGCTCCTGGCAAAGTCTTGCAGGTGGACGAGCACCAGGCCGGGCCAGGCCGGGAATCCAGACCAGAGCTGCGCGCCGGCACTGCCCCTCTCCCGGGCCCCGGGCTCGCCTTCTCCCGGATCTCCAGCGCCCGTTTGCACAGTGGCTCCGCCTCCTTGTACTTCCCTCTCTTGCCGTAAAGCACCGCCAGGTTGTTGAGTGTCGCCGCCACCTGCAGCACAGGGACACACAGCAGTGAAGGGGGTGCCTGCCGAGCAGCCCCCAGGGAGCCCCAAGTGCTCTGGGGGAGAGCAGAGGTGGGTCATGCAAGAAACATGCAAGATGGAGCCCACAGCCGGGCAGACGGACTGCGCTCGGCCCACGGGAGGCAGAGCGCCCCCACAGAGCTGAGCAGACAGTTCTCCAGAAGAAATTTTAGAAGGTGCAGCCTGACTGGGATCAAGAGAGTGTGGCGCTGAGGCTGCGGTGGGCAGCTCCCTGCCAGAGCCACAGCAGAGTGAGCACCGGCCACAGAGCAGGTGGGGGGTACACACCGCGGGGTGGTCTTTGCCCAGCGTCTTCTCGCGGATGGCCAAGGCGTCGTTGAGGAGATTGGCTGCATCTTTGTATTTGTTCTGGTCTCTAGGGGAGACAGACACGTCAGCAATGTCTGCAAACAGCCACTGCCCACCACAGTGCAGCCTGGCAGCCAGCCACAAGCTGCCCACTCCCGGCAGACTCAGGAGACCATCTGGGGTGCCGGACACAGACCCCAGGCTGGCCACATGCAAGGCAAGTGCACTGGCCACCGAACCGTCTCTCTAACCCCTGGGCAGGTTTCTAAAGAATGTTTTCAGCTCTGTGGATGGCTGAGACCTGCAGCTTCTCCCCGGCTGCCGGGGCCACTTCTCCAGCCTCCTCCTCAGCACTTGTCCTGCCTTAGGTCTACACTTGCTACCGAGACCCAACACGAGCAGCCAGAGACGCTGCTGAGATGGGTTCGGAGTTAACAGCCATCAGCCACTGCTCAGGCCTGCTACACTGGATTCAGGACACACGGTGAGAGCCCTGCCACCCGTCCAGGTCTGCAGCGGGGCCTCTCTTCCCTACACAGGTCTGAAGCCTCCCAAATGCCAGCCGAGTGGGCTGAGAGGTCAGGAGGAGCACGTGCTGGGTGAGGGAGTCTGGTTTGACCCCGGCTTAACCCTGGTTCCCTGAGCATCCCTGGTTGTGATCAAAAAATTATTTAAACAAAAGGAGAGAAGAAAGTTTGCTAAACTGGAAGAGTCAAGTCATAGACAAGAAAGTGACCACACGACAGCATGGAGGCTAGGTGGGCTGTGAGACCCTGCAACCACCCCACCAGCTCCTGCTCCCCAGCTGAGACGCCTCCAAACACTCCCCAATGCTTGGCCTGCTTCTCGTGATGTGCCGGGTCCGACACCTAGGACAGGAGCAGCGGCCACACACGTCTCCTAGTCCCCAGCAGGAGCCAGCAGGTGCTGGGAGAAAAGAGAATTCGATACCCCAGTGGGTTGGGGGAGGGGGGAACCCTCGCATCTGTCAGGGCTACATCCCTGCATCCCCAAATTACTGTGGGAACAGAAAACACAGGTAAGTGGCCCTGACGCCAGGCATGAGGATGGGGGGGGGGGGGACGGGGGGGGAGAGGGAGCTTGTCCCTGAGGCCATGGCATCTGTGGCTGTGCTGGGTCCCCAGAGCCCCCGGCAGATAAGGGACAGGGCCAGCTGGTCCTCCGTTCTCCAGAGACATGACAGGGCCAGAAGTTGGGGGCGGCAACGAAGAAGGTGCATGGAGTCGGGCCCCAGAGTAAAGGGAACCCACTTGCCTGTACACCAAGGCCAGGATGTTGAGCATGGTGGCCACGTCGGGGTGGTCATGGCCTGATGTCTTCTCCAGGTCCTCCAGCGCCTGTTTGCACAACGGCACAGCCACCTCATAGCGGCCCTGGGATGCGTACTGGATGACCAGGTTGTGCAGTGTGCGCAGGCGCGCCGGGATCTCGTAGCCGCCCTGCTGAGCAGCGGCCGCCGCACTGCTGTGCTGCTGCTGGACTGCAGACAGACTCCAGGTCAGGCCGGATCGTGAGCGCGCACGCGCACGCACACACACACGCACACACATGCACACGCACGCGCACACACGCACACACACACAAATGCAGTACACCCACCAGCCTTCAATAACTTTCCCAGCTCGGGAGCAGGTTCTATGGACTGTCCACCCCTTAGGCCAACTGGGTACTTGGGGGGTGCTGCTCTTGGACCAGGAGAAGAGGGGATCCCATGTAGCAATTGCTGCCCCCCAAGGTGCAGAGCATAGCCCACAGATGCACCGTCACGTCACGCCCCGCCCCACAGAGGCCTGCCCGGCACACCCACTTACTGCCTTGACCAGGTTCATCGTCGTCATTCGGAAAAAGGTCATCCAAAGGTTCTTTGCTGGAGTCGGAGTCTTTATCCTCCTAGAAAGGTGGGCCCTACAATCAGTCCACAGCGCGGACAACCGCTGGGCACTCAGACAGGAATCCCCCAGAGTCACAAAACTGAGACGCTCCCTGTTTAGGCCCCATGATAGGGTAACCAGGAGTCTGGCTCATGCCTGGTTAAGGCAGAGGAACAAAAGCCGCAGCTCACTGGGAGGCTGGGGAACTTGAGCATGCCTGTCCCTGCCTAGATGTCTGCCCCTCCATCCCCTGTCCCCGACTGGATGCCTGCCCCTCCAGCCCTGTCCCCGTCCCCCTGCCTGCCCCTCCACGCCCTGTCCCTGTCCCCACCTGGATGCCTGCCCCTTCATCCCCCGTTCCTGTCCCCCTATTCCCAGTGCCGCAGTGCAGGGAAATCCCAACTCCATTTGCACATTTTCTTTGGAAGCAAATGCATGATACCAAGTAAACATGCTCCCGGGCGGAGAGCTCCGCCTGCGGGCACCCGGATGCCGTCTCACACACCATCAGGACTGACCCCCACAGCACTGAGGCAGGAGAACCCATGACAGGAGGGCCAGGCCTGGTGAGTCCAGCAGGGGTGGGCACAGGGCTCAGAGAGGCTATGAGCTGGGACCAGGCCAAGAGGCCAGGTCAGGCCCGAGACAGCAGCTGAAGCACCTGCCCTAAGACGGAAACGGACACGCGGGCTGCCTGTGTGTGCCTGGGCTGGGCCAGACCGGTGACAAAGTGGGGAGGGGAGGGGAGAGAGCAGGGAGGGTGCTGAGGGGAGGGTGCTCCCCCCTCAATGGCGGGAGGGGGAGGGGAGGGGGTGCTGAGGGGGCCCCGCTCACCGAGGGGGAGATGTCGTCGTCGTATTTCTTCAGCTGGTTCATGAACTCCAGGTGCTTCTTCTCCTCCTCCAGCTGCGCCACGGCCTGCTCGCTCTTCTGCAGCTTCTGCTGCGTCCCCGCCAGCTCATCGCGCAGCCACTGGTTCTCCTGGCACAGGCGCCGCACCTGCGCACGCAGCTTCTGCTTCTCCGACTCCACGGCGTTGAGATGGTTGGACAAGGCCATCATGACCTGCGGCGGCAGTGACGCGTGGGCACCTGCACCCCAGCCCACTCCACAGGGTCACGCTCTCCACCCTACAGAACATGGGGCTGCGGCACCGGTCATGCCACAGGAGCCCAGCACCAGAGCTCCGGCCTGGGCACCACACGGCACCTCCCCACCAGCAACCCCCCAAACGCCCTTGCTGAGCCTCATTTCAAATGAACAGTGGCAGGGAGTGGCCCTGGCCCCTCTGAGGAACTGGGCTCATCTGCCCTCTAGAGAAGCCGCTGCGCCCCTCACAGCCCCTCATCCCAGGACACGAGACAGAGCACAGAGGTGGGAGCTGGGGGGGGCAGACCGCACCCCTTTCGAGTGAGGGAGCCCACCAGTGCCAGCACCCAGGACCGCGTGTCCCAGGAGCAGCTATGCTGTGCAGGCCCTGCGGGAGGGGGAGATCCGTCCAGGGTGGGGCTTCCTCGGCCTGCCTGTTTCCTGTCTGCTCTGGGTCTGGGTTTAGGGGCCACACTGGGCAGTGCTGGGGCTCTTTGCGTCCCACGGCAAAGCACGCGTCCCATGGCAGAGCACGCACCCCACACCCCGTGCCTTTCCTCAACCCTCACACCGGCCACATTTGGGCAGATTCCGACCCAGGCACCTTCCCGTGCAGCCCCAGAAACAGCGTCACTCACGAGTGTCCAGACACTGGTCCAGAACTGAGGGTGAGTGGCCCTCAGGAGAGCAGAGCCCTCAGGCAGCCCCGCCCCGCCCCGCAGAGAGGCGGGTGCCCAGTGCACCCTGGCTGCTGGCAGAGGGCACGCCGGGGTGCTCCTTGCTCCCCTCTCTCCAGCACAGGGGCCATCTGCTGGAAGCACAGACACTAAGTGGAAAAACAAACTCAGGCCACCACAGGGCACGTCTGCAGACAGAAGCCGGAGGAGGCGGTGCTCTTCTGACCCACAGCAGTCACGGGCTGCAGGGCCTGGGCAGCACAGGACTCCCACCCAGTGGGATGGGTCGGCACCACTGTTCTGTTGGTGCTCACAGTGCTCTGGGGAGACCCCGGGTGAGGGTTGCCCTGACGGCCTGAGAAGCCACTTCAGCCCCCACACCCACGACCAGGCGCGACTGCAAAGCCTGCTACCTGCGCCTCGCTCAGGCCAAGCTCCAGCATCTCCAGCGACTTCCGGATCATGTTGGACTTCTCCTCAACCAGGTTACTCTCATCATCTTTCTTCAGACACTTGAGCGTCTCCAGCAGGCTCTGCAGGATGGAGTTGTGCTCGTTCTTCAGGGCCTCCAGCCCCTGGATCACCTGCTTGGTCTTCGAGATGATCTCATCCTGCGTGAGTTTCTCCAGCTTGTCTTCCTTTATGTACACCATGGTGGACATGTTGTCATACATCCTGGGAGGGAGAGAGGGACATCTCGTTAAGGGGCCTGCCACATCTTTAAGAAGGGCAGGTGTGCAGGCCCCAGTGGGTACTGGAGATTGTTTCCTCGCAACCCCACAATCTGAACTTTGCCTCTACAGACCTACTTACTTTCCTAGCTTAGGTCTGAGTTCTTCAGTCTGGGTTTGGGGGCAGTGCTCAGTGCTTGCGGGGGCTGTTCCCAGTGGGGAGTGGAGGACTCTGCATGAAGGGACTCCAGGCCCAGGGCCCAAAGCGGTAATAGCGGGGAGGGCAGTTTCCTTGCACACAGCCACCTCAGGTTCGATCCCCACAACCCCATATAGTCCCCGAGCACCACCATGACTGATTCCTGAGTGCAGAACCGGGAGTAACCCCTGAGCATCACCAGGTATGGCTTACACACAAACAAGACCGCCCCCCCAAAAAATGCTCTAGGTCTGGAGAGACAGCACAAGCTTACAGATGTCACCTGAGCATCTCAAGGTGTCTCTGGAGCACAGAGCCAAGAGTACCCCTGAGCACTGTGGCAGCAAAGGAGCTGTGCAGAGCTCACAACAGTGACATCTCTTAGGTCCTTCCCAGAACAGGTGACACCTGTTGCACCACTCATGCCAGGCCGGCCCAGGACAACACCACGGATAGCATCTTCCTCACAATAACAGAAAGAGGCGGATGGTTGACCCTGCTGGAGAACGGCCCTGCCTCACAACTGATCCTGGAGATCAGTCTCTACCAGCCAGAGACAAGGTAGCCGACATCGGCTCTGAAGCTCCTAAAGCAACGCCTCCAACCTCACAGAGCAAATCAGACGGGAGCATTGCGTGGAAGCCTGCTGAGCTCACGAGTGAGCGCCATGAGTGAGCACCAGGTGCACCTAATAGCTCAGGAAATCCTCAGGCCAGGATTTTAACAACACCATCACGAGATAACGTAACAAGCAATATAAAGTCAATTATTTTGCATCTGCTAAAGAAGCAGTCTTAAAAAAATAAACATACAAAAATAAAGGAAGAGCAGGCAGGGAGTGGGGGCGATGGGAGGGAACCTGGGGACACTGGTACTGGGGAATGTACACTGGTGGAGGGATGGGTGTTGGAACACTGCATGACTGAAACCCAATCATAAACAACTTTGTAAGGGTCTGTTTCATAGTGATTCAATAAAAGAGTCAAAATAAATAAAGGAAAAGGTTTTGGGGTGGGCGGGAAACTGCGACATTGATGGTGGAAAGGGCACATTGGTGGTGGAATACTGAATACCGAAAATAAATGTACTTTGTAAATCACGGTGTTTTAATAAATTTTTGGGGGGGCAAGGAAAAGAAAAAAGGTGGTGAAAGAAAAACAGCAGGAGGGAGGGTAAGAAAAGGATGAGGAGAAAGAGCAGGAGCAGGGAGAAAAGCTTCAGGAGTACAGATGGAGCAGGAACAGCAAGGGGGAAGGAGGAGGAGGAGGAAGAGTCAGGACATGACAGACAAGGGAGAAGAGGGGGAGGAGGAGGAGGAGGAGGATGTGGCGGTGGCTGAAGGACATGACCAAGTGAGTACCTGGGACGCAGTTAGAAAGTCTCCCCGTGCCCCACCAACCTTGTGGTCAAGTACTGGGCCACAGACAGTAAGGGACAGGAGATTTCCGAAGGCCAGCGCCTGGGGCGAGGGTGGGAGACAGGATGGACAGGGCAGAGGATGACACAAGACAAGAACCCCAAGACCCACTCACGTCCCCTTGCTGGCCTCCCTAATGCCAGAAGCCAATCCTAACTTTCTGGTGACATCAGACTGGGGTCTGGCTGGGAGAGACCCTGAAAGGAGGGGGAAGGCCACTGCACTGTGCTGAGCCGCTGCCAGGCAGGGACTGGGCAGGGGGCAGCAGGGCAGACAGAGGGAAGGCCTGTCCAGATCCTCTGAAAAACAGGGGACAAGAGGAGTCAGGTCGAGCCCTAAGCACCAGCACAAGCCCTGCCTGAAGAACATCAGGGAAACCAAAGCCACCGGAGGGAGCAGAAGCAATGGCACCCAGGAAACTGTCTCAGCCAGACTGAAAACCAGGCTGCCCAGCAGAGCAAGGACATGACACGCTGTGTGTCCCACCCACATACTCATACAATCCCCTACACTGTGTATGCCCGACCCCATACACTCACATATGCACCAATACAATGTGCAATTCTACCATCCTGCCCTAATCCTGACCCTGGTCGTAACTCTGACCTTGACCCTATATGAGACCCTGATCCTGACACTGACCCTAACAATTACCCTAACCCTAACATTCCTGTCCCTAACCCTACCCATAAACTTAAACCTAACCCTGATGCTAACCCTAACCTGAACCCTAACTTTAACCCAAAAGGTCTGACCCTTACATAACCTTGCCCCTGACCCTGATCCTAACCCTAACTCTGACCCTACTGTAACACGAAAACCTGAGGGCCAGAGCGATAGCACGGCGGGAAGGGCACTTGCCTTGCATGCAGCCAATCAGGATTCAATCCCCGGCATCCCAAATGGCCCCCCGAGCACCACCAGGAATAATTCCTGAGTACAAAGTCAGGAGTAACCACTGAACATCACTGGGTGAGGCCACAAAAAAAAAAAAGTCACTAAAACCAATCCTAAACCTTTCCCTAGCCCATCCTAAACTAACCTTATCCTACATCTAAACTTACACTACCCTCAACCTAACCATAACCATAAACCAATCCTACCCCAAATAATACTCCTAACCCTAATCCTACAAAATCTCTAACCCTAGACCTAGTGCAAACCCTACCCTTTAGTTTCCGTCACCTATACTCACACCAGTCTCACCCCAAACACACCTCAACACTAGCCCTAACCCTAACCAACTCCAACCTAGACGCTCCGCAAGCCCTAACACTACCCCACCATCCCAAGAACCCAACACCAGCCCCTACCTCTTACCTGAACCTTAACCTCTAGCCAATCCTTAGACCCAACCTAGCCCCACCCGTAGCCTCACCCTGACCCTAACCCTAACCACTCACCCCAATCCCTAGCCCTTGCTCCACTCCTAGCCTGACCCTGACCCTAACCCTAGCCTCCAGCTCCAATCCCTAGCCCTAATTCCGCTTGTAGCTTGACCCTGACCCTAACCCTAACCCTGACCTCTCGCCCTAATCCCTAGCCCTAGACTAACATAACCCTAAGCTTCATCCATGATCCCTGCCACTCACTCAGCCGCTACCCCTAGCCCTGAACCTAGAGCTAAACCTCAACCCTAGGCTCTAAACCCCAACCTCGCCCCTACGTAACTGAGGGCCCAACCGAGCAGAAGCGCCGATCCTCACTCTAACACTGAGCCAAATTCGAGCCTGGTCGAACCTGATCCTGAACCCTATCACCTGGCCTAACTAGCAGCCTTACCTGAGCCTGAGCCTTGGTTCGACCCTGACCCCAGTCCTCTCCTAGTCCCGACCCCAGCCCTACACCAACTCCAAACCTAACCCTCGCCCTACCCTAATCCCAGCACCAACCCCAGTCCTCACCCAGTCCTGACCCTAACCCAGCCCTAATCTTAGCATAGCACTCACCACTGGTCCCAGCACTGACACAGCCCGAGCCCAGCCCAAATCTGTCCAGAAAGCCACGTCAGAGCTGGGGCCTGTGCACGTGGGACCTGCTCACTCTGGGCCTGCTCACACGGGACCTGCTCACTCTGGGCCTGCTCACACAGAACTTGCTCACTATGGGGCCTGCTCAGTCTGGGGCCTGCTCACCTGGGACCTGTGCACATGGGACCTGCTCACGTGGGACCTGGTTGCACACATGGGACCTGTTCATCTGGGACCTGTACACATGGGACCTGCTCACCTGGGACCTGCTCACGTGGGACCTGCACATGTGGGACCTGCTCAGCTGGGACCTGTACACGAGACTTGTACATGTGAAAACTGTGCACAAGGGTTCCAACGGTCGCACAGCCAGTGGCGGGTCTCCATCCCTCAGATACGCACTCCTCCAGTGATAAGAACCCTGACTTTCTAGAACCTTCCAGGCACTTTCTGACCTCTCTCTAGCCAGCTCTAGAATCAACCACTTCTCCAAAGGCCTGGGGCTTGTCTAAGAGCCGGCAATGCTGGGCCACAGAGCTGGAACTCTGGGTCCTGCCCAGACCCCAGGACCAGTCTGATCATAAGCAAGAAAGACTTCGGCCAAAGTCACAGTGAGGGACGTTCTACAAACACTAGCCAGCGCTTCTCCAGCCTGCACCAAGGAGACCAAGGCAGGACCGAGGAGAATTGAGAAAATGGTCACTCATCAGAGGAAGCAGTGACACCCAAACAGAATGTGAAACATGGCCCTGAAGTACTAGCTGGATCACCTGCCTTTCATGCCAGACCCACGCTTGGCCTCAGCACCAAGAGGAAGACTGAGGTTGGTGGCTGGAAGCCAAGTAGAACACATGGGAGTGACCCAGACCCTGTCACAGATGTCTCCAATGGCGTGGGTCCATGGGGGAAACTGAGTTCTGGCAGTGCAGGCATTTAACAAATTTCAAACTATCCAAAGAATAAGCCTTTTTTTGGTTTTGGTGTGTGCTTGTTTCTGTTTCAGAACCACACCTGGCAGTGCTCAGGGCTTACTTCTGGCTCTGCACTAGGGATCACTCCTGGTGGGACTCAGGGGACCACACGGGGTGTCAGAGATCGAACCCGGGTCACTGCGTGCACAGCAAGAGCTCTCCCCAACATGCTTATTTAAAATCCACAAAGGACATGACAAGTACGGAGGTAGCTTGGATCAAGACCCAGATGAGGGGCGAGAGAGCTGGTTCAGAGACGCTTGGTCACACAGGAGGACTCTCCCCAGCACCATCGGGAGGGGCACCAGAACCAAGCCGAGAGCAGCCCAAGCGCCACCAAGTGTGACCCCAGAGGACACCAAAGGGCTGGGGAGAGCTCACGGTTGGAGCACTGCCAGGTGCCCCCTCCAAGACAATTGTCACTCGCCATCTACTCCACCATTCAG